TTCACAGGGTGACTGGAAAAGATGAAAGGCAGAAGACGATAACGAAAGGCTGAATTTACAGTAATACATCTTATATGTATTATTATGTACCATGTGAATCCTTACCATAAGAAAGTGTAATCATATACTGCTGTGCAAATAAAGCTATAAAAAGAGTGTTTACAAACGTTACAGATGTTGGGTTTAAACTTTTGGCTGATCACGTCTTGGGGTCACTACCACCCCACTGAGGGGGAGTGAGGTGATTAAGTTTGCAAAATAAATACTTCTGTAAGGTTGAGACACGGATGCTGACTTCATGGGTCTTACTAGATATACTTTTGTTGAAGCTCTCGATCAAACATCCAAAACAGGTTTTCGTGGGGTATCTCGTCCAACTCATTTCTTACCATCAACTAGTAGGCTTGGTTCACTCACTCCTTCTTTCAGATACTCTTCGTATCTGACACCTGTTTAGACTACACTTCGGGTACCCTATATCTGGAAGAAGATATGAACAAATAGGTTACCCAACTCTTTATATCCGTTACATCTTCATGGACATCCATTCACGAAGGATAGGAAGGAAAGTAGGACTTGAAAATTCGTGCAGCATATGTATTAATTAAAATAAGTAAGTTGTATAAATCCTTAGAATAAGTGATTTTGAAAATGTTTTTTTCCGAATTTTTCAAAAGCGGTTGGACATTCGCTTTTGCGCCTTAGATAGTGGAATCACTCGGTGTTATGATGCATATCTTGAGACCTGCTAGTCATTATTATCGCCATCCTCTTCAGATCGCCAAACTAATCTATCTCGCCTATTATCTTTGTTTCCTCTCCCTTGCTTACACTTCGGTCCTCTCTCACAATCTTCACTACCAATTAATAAACTAAAATATCTATACATAACTTAGTTCTGAAATCTTATTCATATCAGCATTAGAATATTTCCTTATTGTTCTTCACATTGCAATTAACTGATGTGCGGTCTAGTAATGTGATAGCTGCTTGTATCCAGAAAACCTGCTGCCCTGAAACAAATGTTTTCACTCAAATCGTGGGATACACAAAATCACAACCAACTGCTAACTGACCCTAATTAGACAGTCCACTAGCTAGACCCCATTCATCAGACACTACCGAAAACCCTGAATCGTACCGAAAGAACAAGAATTGTGCGCAAAAATTTCATTTGGTTTATAGTAGCTCGCGAAAAACATATTGGACATTGTAAAGTTCGGTTACGACGGCAACAACTGGTGCCGCATTATGTAAGCGCACTCATGATTTTCTCCTAAGTTGCTAGCCAAAATGGATGTCAATCGTTCTCACTTTCAATAGGAATTGTTTTTCACAAAGTCAAGACAAATAAAAAAAGTTGCCATGAATTAATAACACAAAGAGTAAGGGTGAGGAATTCACGAAATATACTTCGCCCAAAATATCTGTCAACTGGGTCATGATCTGTTTGGAAATTTGAATCTAAGTTTCACACAGAGTCTGAACGTAGTGAGAACAAGTATAATTCAAATAACTTTAGATGAGATTTTAACATGAGTGTTACCAATAACATTTATCCCTTTTGTTGATCAGATTTAGTCCAGATTAAGTTTTGTGTATTGATGATAGAAGGCCAATAGGCTGTGTAATTCCTTTCCTAATGAGCTTCTAAAATTGTGTAGCATTCGACTGAGTAAGTCGAATGAAGGTATGGGGATCACGTATTTGTGTAACAGGTTATGAGATTTTATAACAGAATAATAACCTGCACGGGTATTTTGTTCAGTCTTGGCTTTTTAACTACTCAGCTATTGTTACGTCCAAGTTTTGCTCCTTCCCGTTATTGAAGTACAGTATGTCGATCTATTTGCAATTCATGAACCCAAATTAACAACGGAACCAAACTCCAAAGTTAGGTACCAAAGTTTATTCGTAATTCACAAATAGTCGACCAAAATGTCGTTCTAACAACAATAATTATAATAACTACAAATACCTTAAATTTTATAGGTTCCTGAAGCAAAAACACCCAATTACTAAACCAAGACAAACAGAAACGAAAATGTCCGAAAATAATAAATCAAACAAGTTCATAAGTTAAGTAAAACAAATGTACCCAAAAAAACAGTGAAATTATTGATATTTGTATAAAGGTTTTAATCAGCCAAATGTCTTCAGTTCTCCCGTAACAGTTATATCCTTTAGGTTTTTCTGATTTGGTAAGAAGAATCGGAGGATACATTAGGTCCAAAATCACCTCTTTCCAAGAAATCATGCATATATGCGTCAAAATAAGACCAACTCTCAATCTGAGGTAAGACATAGGAAACACGTTGATCATCTGAAGACTCTATGTATATGGTAAGCCTCGGGATTCTGGAGTTGGATGGATAGCCTTCATCTGTGTTCTTTTTTTGAGACATTCAAGTCATATTTGGAAGATTCTGACAGCAGTCTTCAAGTTCGTATCTCACTGAGGTTGTATGTACTGTAGTGGACAAACTAGTATTCAACTTGGCAAAAGTCCTTTTCAAAAACCATAGGGTTTTAAACCGATTAGCTGCAACGACACGGTAGTGGGCGGTGGTCTTAGGAACGTGGCTCACTGTTACCTCTAAATCACTGTGAGACAGGACTATGGACAACTACTTTTCATCAGTGCTGTAGCCACCTGCCTTTGTACCTAAAGTATGCATGTAGACACACTTGACCGCATCGACAGACACCAGCTATATTTAGAGGAGGTGGCCAAAACTTCTAAGTTAGCTTAAAGTACACGGACATCTGCGTCTCCAGTTATTTCCGGAAAAAGTTTTACATCATCGGTTCAAAGTAGCACCGGACACATAAAGACATTCAGGAGTTCATTCGTTTGTCTCATAAAAAGTAAAGGACTTATAGTAGATCCTTGCGCTACTTCGTTATGTAGTGGTTTACATGAGTAGCATCTGTAGCTTATTTTTATTTACCAAGCAATCTTTGATTCCCTTTGAGAGAAGTCTGGTAATTCCTAGACTTCCAGCGTCAAGAGAAATCTACTGTTCGGCACCTTTTCAAATGCTTTGATAAAGTCTACATAGACAATATTTCTAATTTTTCATCATCGAGTGACTCTGTTTATCTCTGTTTCGCTGTAAGGGAATTTTTTGTACGATATAATCCTTTCACAAAGCCTTGTCGTTCGTTGTTTGCAAAGTTGGTGGTTTTCACAGATCGTTGTAGGCTTTTTGATTATTTTCTCCAGTATTTTAACTGAAAACTGTTAAGGCCGACAAGCACGTAGTTTGATGAAATCTGTTTCAATTCACGTCCTATAAACTGCAGTAACAATTGCGTCCTTTCAGTTTGTAGATAACTGACCTCGTCTAAGTGATATGTTTAATACCATAGTCGTTGGGTCAGCAACGTACTATGCAACTATCATCAAGATTTTAAGGTAACGTTCACCAGTTTCTGTTGATTACCGTATGTTTAAAGTACTTAGGGCTTTTAGCATGTTGTCTTGGCCAAAGTCTACAACGAGTGGCATATTTGGTGGTTTTATTCTAGCGTCTAGTCCTTCGTCCAGAAAAGACTCGTAAGTGAAAACTGTTTCGACATAGTTCACATTGGATCCTGCTTTGTCCTGATCTTCCTCCATTTTTCGAGAAAAATGAAGTTAAAAATATGGTCGTGCGTTCCTGTTCTGTTACTGTTGCTCAAAAACAGTTGCTGCGACTACTTGAATACAGACTGTGCCGACTACATTTTTTATATTTTCTATTAGCTTCCTGAATTGCGCTAATACATTTATTTCGAATTGACTTTAGTGTTTACCAAATGAAAACCTGTGAAATGAATAAGAATATTTACTAAGACGTGAGTATCAATTTTTTATTTTAAATGGAGTATACCAGCTGTAAAACAAGCTTAGGGTATCATTGTCATTAGTCTGTTAATAGGCCGTAAATTCTAGTTTGACTGATACCATAAATTAATAATTTCTACATTAAAGTGAATGTTGTGAAACGTAAACTAGGATTTTTATTCATAAGCACAAAGCAGTTTTATGCTCTATCACAATTCACTACGGATTTCCAACAAGTGAAACCTTTTTTGTTTAAAACTTGTCTATAATATAACACTAAATATTGACACTCCACTTTTAAGCTGCCGTTTACTGCTTATAATGTCTGGCATTTAGAGAGGTCGCAATTTATGTTGTTTGCCTTGTAAAGTTTTAGCACCAGAAAGGTATATATCTGAGAAAACTATATCAATTTTCCAATCCTTTTGTTTATGACCATGATAGAAAATTCTGAGTTCGTTTAACCTGACATTAAATAACTAGCTAAGTGGGTGTACAGCATGAAATTTGTTTGTTGAGTAATGCATACTTGAAATCAATATAACTTAGTAAAGACACTAAGTGCTTTTATCGTATGTTTAAGAACATTACAATGCTGGCTACTTTAGTATCTAACTATTTGATTTCTTGAATTTAAAATGATATATTTTGGTTACAAATGTTACTTATTAGTTTTTTTAAGAAACGAAAATAAAACGGCCAAGTTTATTGGATTAATTCAAAAGGCCTTAAAAAATTTACGGGTCAAATATTTTTAAAGTTGTAAACATGGATTTTTGTCATTCATACAATTTCTGAGGTCTCGTTTCGGTTCCATTTTTACCAGACAACTATCCCTTTCAAAAGTTCAAATATAACACTACTTACTCATTAGTAAATTATCAATTATGTATTGTGTCAAAGTTTCACATTAAAAGAATGCTAAAAGAAAATATCCCTTCTTTTAGATAAATTTCAAAGATTCCCTCTGATTTTCCTGTCAAAATTCTTTGTAACGAAACACTGGAATCCAGTTTTTATCCTGTTCAAAAGTTTTTAAACTGATCAGTTACTGACAAATACAGTCTGGTGACGTAATATATGATAAACATAAAAATAAAATGACAGGATACAATAACAGTGAATTTCATAAAAGGAGTTTTGACCTGCTCTTCCAAGATTATGTCAAGACAAGTGAAGAGGAAAATCAAGCAATGCTCAACTTACTGAGACAGACACCGGTGGATGTCTTATCTATGGAATGGTTGAACTCAGAACCTCGAACTATAGAAGCAAGATCTTATCTGATTGGTAATATTTTGCCTCAAGTTGTTCTGGGCTTGGAGTCTATATTGAAAGAAGCAACTCAGAGAAACCTGATTATGCGTGACGTACTGGATGAAAAAAATTATCAAGCAGGATCGGACAGAAATTTTAATCCCGTTAATCGGCTAGCTGAATATCTAATGCGTAATAATCATAAATCACATCATTTCAATGAATCCTCATCTTATATAAGAGGGCTAAGAAATACACTAGCTAAGTTACAATATGAAATGTTTATGCAATCAGAAAACCAACTTGTTGCGGTGAAACTTAGTGCTGACTCTAGACGTACAGAAGAAAAACAAAACGAATTACAAGTCGAAAAAGAATATGATAGACGAATAACGATTATTTCCACTATTTTTGACCGCTTTATGTCACTTAGAAGAAACTCAATTAACATAAATATGGTAAGCTTGCACCATAATTTTATGGCTATTAGTATGTTTTTTTTCCTTATCATTGGATATCAAGGTGAATCGCTTTTGTGGCAGTACAGTTGACACACTTCCCGACCGTAGCTGCTACCTTGACGTGGTGGTCGGGCTTGCCTATCGTGATGACCCAACCGAGCTATACTGGCTGCAACATATGTTCCTGCAGGTCCTACCATGCCAGACAGGTCGACTGGAGAACGATGAGACTAAAAGCAGCTACCCAAGGTCTGAGGGCGAAGTTGTACTGCTGACTGCAGAGGGGTGTGACAGCAGTAAGGTGTTTCCCTCGGATAACCAGCATCTGCAGCGATGCTGCCTTCTGACAAGGAAGGAAGGGTTAGAAAAGGTCGGCCCTAAAAATGTCACACCTCCCCTAACTCACGGATTTCCGTCTCCTTGGGTAAGGGTGCCCACTAAGGGCCTTTAAGAACGGAGCTAATACTCTAAATACCTTTCATAAAACAGCCGTGCGTGACCGGCCTGAAGCAGTTGTCCCTTGGGCTCTGTGGTCACGCACCAACACTAATCCATCTTCGTTTTCAGGTCCCTCAAGAAACAACCTTCCACGGTGTGGGAAGCCGGGAAGTGACAACCGCCCTCATACCCATAACAGCACGCGAGACCGAATTGGTCAAAATCAAATCCTTCATACACCCCCTAATGTCTCTCTTATCTCTACGACTAACTCTACTCACACTCCCTTTTCTCACTGCACGACAGGTCCTGGAACATAGACACACATATAGGCGTCCTACAATAGTTGTCTTCCTGGACCTTAAGGCGGCATTTGACTCTGTGGATCGTGAGGTTCTCTGGCAGTGTCTGTCATTGAAAGGTGTACCAAAGAAGTACATTAACCTCATACAAGCCCTTTACTCGAACACCACTGGTCGAGTGAGGGCTTATGGCGAACTGTCACCGGAATTCTCTACATCAAGTGGTGTCCGTCAGGGATGTCCACTTTCTCCATTTTTGTTTAATTTTATCATAGACAGGCTCCTAGAAATAACCTTATCCCCGTCTGAATTTTCTGGAGTAGACCTTCTACCAGGTGGCTCGCTTATTGACTTAGAATATGCCGATGACATAGTCCTACTTGGTGAAGATGCTGACAAAATGCAGAGTCTTCTGATCACCCTAAGCAACAATGCAAGCATGTTCGGGATTCGGTTCTCACCCTCGAAATGCAAAATGTTGCTCCTAGATTGGCTTGCGTCGGTACCTGAACTGGTGATAAGGAGCGAAGTAGTCGGGCGTTTTGACCGCCTCACTTATCTGGGGAGTCTCAGCAGTGCTGATGACCTGGTAACTGACGAAATTTCAGCACGGATACAGAAGGCTCGATTGGTTTTTGCCAACCTGCGTCACCTATTCAGCAAGCTAGATATCCGTCTGCTAACCGAAGATCGAGTGTACTGCGCATAAGTTTGCTGTCCTACTATATGGATGCAAAACGTGGCCGGTAAGAGTAAAGTACTTTCGTATGTTATTGGTATTCGATTATAGATGTCTTCGAAGCATTGCTGGTATATTATAGGAACCCCAGGTAAGCAATGCTATATATAGTTAAGAAACGAGTACTCGGTAGGGATGGTAGATCAATATACGGAGTATTGGAACTACACAAGTTCAGTTGGTTGGGATTGTGTTACCTATGCCCAACCACCGACTGTCTCTAGGGCTATGTTTTGTGGTGTAGGAGTAGATTGGAAGAAAGCTAGGGGCAGCCAGACCAAAACACGGCAGAAATCCATGAAGTCACTGACAAGTGGACTGAGGTATGTTGGTAGATGTATACTACGTGGTTGGGGTCCGCGAGGCGAAAGTCACCAATGGCTAGAGACCTTGAACGACATGGTTCAGAATCGTTTGCGATGGCGCAGGTGTATTCATTCATTGTGTTCTCTCAAACTCTAATCTGAATTCCTCATCTCTATCCTTCTCTTTCTAAATTTATCTTACTGAATTATACTTCTCGAATCATATCTTAGCTCCCTAATCTTCTGCATTACTGCTAATACTTCTTCTATCGCTACCACTATTGGATTCGAACTGACAGTTGCGTCTCTGTGCTAATGCGGTATGGCAACCTTAACTTATGTACTACTGTATGAAGTTCTAATTTGTAAGTGACTGGCTTTTGGTGCTAAACTTGGTTATTTTTTATTCAGTTCTTACTGAGTATTTCATCACTGGGGTTATTTTCGACAGATAAAAATGCATAAATGACTGAAGTTTTAAGATATTTCAATCCCGTAATGGTTATTCATTTAAGAGCAATCGATAAAAAGGTAACCATCACACAAATTTCCAGTAGTTCGAAAAACAAAACATTTGAGCATGCAAATAAAGGCTTGGACAAAATACAAATTAGTCACTAATATCTGTTATAAAGAAGAGGTTTTACACAATTTCATTTGTTAGTAAACAGATGAGTACATGTTTGCTAATTAAGTTATCGACACTGTGAAAGTCTTAATTTAAGTAGTTTGAGACTAAATACTCCAGGTTTTCAAGTTTTATTAAAATCCAACCAAGCTTTTCAGTTTTCCGTCAAGTATCCTAAAATGATAGTTTTTGGGATATGTGCAGAAATAATGCATCTTAAAGAATGATTATAAGTTTATTTTAATAAGTTGCTTTTTTGTCAGTGTTAAATAACAACATATTCATATTTACGTTTCTATATGTAAAAAGCGGAGTATAGAGGGGATTTCAATATCAAATGTTCCATGTTATATTTCACATGTTTTAACTAATAATGTGTACTCAAGGGATCAGTACAATTTTTTTCTTATTCCGTGTCTCGTACTTCAATTTCTTCGCTTTAAAACATCTGTCAGGTAGTGAATATTAGCTACTAATTTAATCGTCAACAAGCTATAAGCGAAAATAAATAACTACTTTAGATTCAAACCGGTGTTGGATGATGCGTAATCAATTTCAAAGAATTAAAAGTAGTAAAGAAAATACTTTCGTTAAGTATTCTCAGGTTCTCAGTGGTTACTTATCTAGTGTCAGTCGTGATGAAGACTACCAGGAATATACTGCAGTTATTATCGCATATATTACAGTCTTCGCAATGGTTATCAGTTATAATGACCATTGTACTTTGTATAGATATGAATAACAAGCTGCATGATTCATTATTTACTGTATGTAGACAAAAATAGTTAATTACTTTTCCATTCATCATTACAATGACTTGTAATTTATTATTTTATTCTTTTTGGATTCGATTAATTACTTTTTTTTAAATGTAGATAAAAGATATAGTATTTACATTTACGGAATTAGATAATAAACTACCAAAAGAAATGAAACACTTTTTAGTACAAACTTTTAAAACTCAACTAATGAAATACGATCAGGTGAATTATGACAAAGAAGAATTTGTTAAGGTGGGTGGGTGCATTTGAAGATTTTACATTGGTAAAGATTAGACAGTATAAAGTTATCATGCTTCTACTGTTTGTTCTTTTTGTGACATTATTGATTATTTTTTAAGCTGGACAACCTAACTTATCATCTATTTGATTTCAGCTTGTTCATAAATGACTTTTCATGTCATATTATTCAATTTATATCTCAAAACTTTCTGCTTTATAGGGTTGCGAAAGAATAAATAAACGAAAATATCTTAACTCATTAATACTCGGGAAAGTATATAAAAATCAATCAGTAGAATAAAAAAACAAGTACATATAAAATATTTAAACTACTTCCTATTGTCAGCATGTTAATGAGTCCAAATGTATATCCACAATTATTATAATAAAGAGTAAACAACTCTTAAGAAATCTACGGCAACCTACTGTGGGGTAAAGTAAACCAGTTTATAGATAAAGAGGAAGTTAAGAAAACTCTCCGGATATAAATAAGTGGTACATTATGCAAACCAACAAGCTGTGCTGAGGGCGAAACTAAAATGAAGAGATCAAAGAACAAATGGCTTTGGGAACTGAAGACAGACATGAAAAGCATAAATAAATAATGGAGGTCTTTAGTGGAAGACTTATGCCACAAGGGCAGTACCAGGTCCTAAGAAAAAGGGAAACATTATTTAGTGTTTATGAATTTCAAAATCGAAAATATATATCATTATCTGTTGGAGTTAACATGATATGTGAACTAATGTCTATTGCGTAACCTTGATTAAGATTGGCCAATGTTAGTAACATACTAAGTCCTAAGTAGCAGCTCTACAATATATATAAAAAAATGTATTCTTCTTAATTGAAGTGCATGATATGAATACAAGTAAGATTCATAGAAAATAATAAAGCATAGTAGATATAGAGTTTCTTGTAACTGAAGAAAAGTTGGATTTCTTTCAATTTTGTCATTAACTAATTTATTAAGTATTTGTTTAGTGTCTTAGCTTCGTTAAGATTCCAATTACTTTGTGTTATGTATTTTGTGATTACCATGAGTACACATTAATTCACATTTTACTACATAACATGATTATATATTCCTTCTTCTACAAAATCTTTGTTTCATAAGTTATTGACTGAAATAGATGGTACAGTTACAGAAATTAAGAGGGATCAAACTTGTAATTTGAATATCAACACACTTTACTTATCAAAACATTTTAATTATCAAAGCAAAATAGATTAATATAAACACTGAATTCTTTTTTACGTGACATCTTACTTATGTATTCTTATTCAACAATTTATTTTTTTTTGTAGTTGCTCATGATTTATGCTAGACTGTTATCAAGTGAAGTTTTTGAACAATTCACAGAACATCTAAAACTTTGTGAAGTAGAACTTCTTAAAATGAAGGAAAGAGAAGAACGAAGAAAATTACTGAAAAGTTGTTTCGTTTCGTGTGATTTAGATCAGGTAAAAATATATATTGATATGAATGAATGTATACAGAAATTGACAATTAGCAGTATTTATTCTGATCCTTTTGACTCTCAATTTCATACATTATTCATCACATTGACAATAAAAGTTTAAGTTTATTTACTAACGAGTATCTGAAATCATTCTGATAAACTTACATCATTTAAATATCCTCACTTGATACTATTAGGATTTTTTGTTAACGGTTTTAATTTAGTGTTGAACTTATCTTCCTTATTTTTATATCTGATTAGGTATATTCTGTTTAGTTAAATTATTCTCAAACCTAGTTATAATTTTACTGAGTATCTTTCTCAATTTAATATTTCAATATTATTGATCATCGAGAAATTAGCATATATATTTTGTTACCTCATGATAGCAATATTTTGGGGCTTTAAATAAATTGAAAAATTTCTTGATTTATGAAAGTTTTGAAATACATTAAAAAGATAATGAAATATGAAGAGAGCATTTGTAGATTAGTTATTGAGTTTGCTGTATGTTACACTATGAATCAGCATATCATGTAATATGTCTATATGATTATACCAGTTATATATTTACAAAAAAGTTGAATACCAAAGTGATGGATTTTTATTAATAACATTTCCTAAATAAATTGGTTTTGTGATGCAGAACAACTAGTTTGAAAAATGTGAAAAGTTAAATGAACTCAACGTTTTGATGTAAATTGTGATAATATCAGTTTAATCGCATTATATAATTCTGATAAAAATAAGCTTCTATTGTCAGATAAGCTTACGCAACAATATGAAAATCATTTTGAGTTAACTATTTCTTCTATAAAAGGGACTGATTGTTTTGAAATCATCTCTGTATGTTTAAAATGTCATGCATTAATTCATTAAATGAGTTTCAGAAGACTTGGGATTTAATGAGAGTATAAACATTTTACTACTTGCTGCTTAATCTGTTGATACAAATGTGTTTGTTTTTATGAGAAATACCTTCTAGATTTCCATTGAAGACAATAACAGAAAATTTTAGTTTATCATCAGTAAATACATAACATATATACTTAAACATCAGTACGCTTACACAGAAATAAACGCATTTGTAGATTCCTGCATGTCTGTTTCGACATTCTAACTTTTTCTTCAATCTTTCATCACTCAAATTAAATAGTTTAATGAGTAACCAATCAAAAATATCAAGACTAAATAATCTTTCAGTAGTCTCGCAATGATAACATTATTATCTCATAATTTATTTGCTTTCTTTTGAATGAATTACTATTCTGAAAATCTGTTTTATTGTTTCATCACTGCTCATATTCAGTTGAATGAATTATCTTATGCCCAAGTTTTACAACTCTGTGAAGATTATTTCGATACATGTGAAGAAATTAGCAAAGACAAGATTAATGATCCAAGAGATTGTAAGCTGAAATCATATATTTATTCATATATTTATTGTTATAAAGTAGGTCGTCGTACTATTCAATTTATAATCTTCATTCAGCAACTGATGAGAAAAAAGATGTTAAGCTTATTTGTTTAAATTCATTTAACAGGAAGACATTAGTTCTAATAATATTTTAAACATGTTTTATTCTATGTAAGAAATCCTATCTATTCTTCGTGTCTTCTGTCAACTTCTAATTTTCTGAATTCCTCTTGACTGTTTTTCCTCATTTTAAACTTATTTCATTGGATTTTACTTCTTGAATAATATCTTCAAACCCTAATCCTCTCCAATACCTCTAACACTTCTATATTGCTTTTACTACTATGGGATTTAAATTGACAATTCCATCTCTCTGTGTTAATTACTTACTTACTTACTTACTTAAGCCTGTTACCCCCAATGGAGCATAGGCCGCTCACCAGTTTTCTCCAACCAACTCTGTCCTGGGCTTCTCTCTCCAATTCTGTCCAATGTTTGTTCATTCCTCTCATATCTTTCTCTATTTCTCGGCGTAATGTATTCTTTGGCCTTCCTCTTTTCCTTTTGCCTTGAGGGTTCCATGTGAGGGCTTGTCTCGTGACGCAGTTAGGTGCTTTTCGTAATGTGTGTCCTATCCACTTCCACCGCTTCTTCCTGATTTCTTCCTCCACTGGAATCTGACTTGTTCTCTCCCACAGTTCGTTGTTGCTGATGGTGTCTGGCCAACGAATACGAAGTATTTTGCGTAGACAGCTGTTAATAAACACTTGTATCTTCTGGATGATGGCTTTGGTAGTTCTCCATGTTTCGGCTCCATACAGTAGAACTGTCTTCACATTTGTATTGAAAATCCTGATTTTGGTTTTGTTTGAAAGTTGTTTGGAGTTCCAGATATTTTTCAACTGTAGAAATGCAACCCTCGCTTTGCCGATCCGCGCCCTCACATCTGCATCCGATCCACCATGGTTGTCGATGATGCTGCCAAGATATGTAAAGTTGTTAACGTCCTCGAAAGCATCTCCATCAAGCGTGATTTGATTGGTGCATTTTGTGTTGCATCGGAGAATTTTGCTCTTTCCTTTATGTATGTTGAGACCTACTGCTGCAGAGGCTGCTGCTACACTGGTCGTCTTCTCTTGCATTTGTTGTTGCGTGTGCGATAGAAGAGCCAAGTCATCTGCGAAGTCCAGATCGTCCAGCTGCGTCCTAACTGTCCAGCTGATACCGTGCTTCCCTCCAGATGTTGACGTCTTCATAATCCAGTCGATCACCAGGAGAAAGAGAAAGGGTGAGAGTAAGCAACCTTGCCTGACACCGGTCTTCACCTCAAACGAGTTTGTCAGCTGACCTCCGTGCACGATTTTGCAGTTGAATCCATCATAAGAATTCCGTATGATGTTGACTATTTTCTCAGGCACACCGTAGTGTCGAAGAAGCCTCCACAGTGTTTTCCTATCCACGCTATCGAATGCTTTCTCGTAGTCGATGAAGTTGATGTAGAGTGGTGAGTTCCATTCAATTGATTGTTCCACAATGATCCGTAATGTAGCAATTTGGTCAGTACATGATCGATCCTTACGAAATCCGGCCTGTTGATCTCGAAGTTGGGCGTCTACGAAGTCCTTCATTCTGTTTAACAATACTCTGTTGAAGACTTTGCCTGGTATTGAAAGAAGAGTGATGCCTCTGTAGTTCTCACACTTGCTGAGATCTCCTTTCTTTGGTATTTTGATCAGGTATCCTTCTTTCCAATCTGATGGTACTTGTTCCTCATCCCAAATCTTCTTGAAGAGGATGTGAAATATTTTCGCAGTTGCTTCTACATCTGCTTTCATTGCCTCTGCTGGAATGTTGTCTGGTCCTGCTGCTTTGCCGCTCTTGATTTGTCTGATGGCCATACTGATCTCCTCAATCGTAGGTGCGCCAATATTAATTGGGAGGTCCTTGGATGCTGCTTCGATGTTGGGTGGGTTCAGTGGAGCTGGTCGATTCAATAGTTCCTGAAAGTGCTCTACCCACCTATTTCGCTGTTCGTCAGTGTTGCTGATTATTTTCCCTTCCTTGCTTTTCACTGGTCGTTCTGGTTTACGATAGTTCCCGGTGAGCTTCTTCGTTGTTTCGTACAATTGTCTCATGTTTCCTTCTCTTGCAGCCTTTTCCGCCGTCATTGCTAGATCTTCCACATATTTTCGTTTGTCAGCTCTGATGCTCTTCTTCACTTGCCTGTTTGCTTCTGTGTATGCAGCTTGTGCCTTAACTTTCTCTGCTCTTGTTCGGCTGACATTGATTGCTGCCTTCTTGTTCCTCCTTTCTTCAATTTTTTCAAGAGTACCAACAGAGATCCATTCCTTGTGATGGTGCTTCTTGCGACCAAGGACCTCCTGACATGTTGAAGTGATTGCCTCCTTAATCCCTTTCCAATTGTTCTCCAATGTTGCGTCCTCTCCATTGAGTAGATCCTGAAAGGCCTGGAACCTATTGGTGAGGGCTACCCTGAATTCGTTGAGCTTTACAGTATCCCGAAGAAAGGCCGTATTAAACTTGTGAGATGTTGTCTGTCCCGTTGTCCAGTGCTTCTTTAGTTTCAGTTTCATTTTGGCGATCAGCAAATGGTGATCTGAAGCTATATCAGCTCCTCTCTTGGTTCTCACATCCTCCATGGTCCTTCTGAACTTTTTGTTGATACAGATATGGTCAATTTGGTTTTGAGTAGTGTGATCCGGTGAAATCCATGTGGCTTTGTGAATGCGTTTGTGCGGGAATATTGTGCCACCGATGACCAGTTTGTTGAAGGCACATAGGTTTGCAAATCTCTCACCGTTTTCGTTTCTTTCTCCCAGTCCATGTCGTCCCATGATGTCTTCATATCCAGTGTTGTCCATGCCAACCTTGGCATTCAGGTCTCCCATTAGGATCGTTAAATCCTTTGGTGAACATTTATCGACGATTGACTGCAGCCTGTCGTAGAATTGATCTTTAACGTCGTCACTGTAGTCATTGGTAGGTGCATAACATTGGATGACGTTCATTGTAATGTCCTGTTTCTTTGTTTTGAAGGATGCTTTGATGATCCTGGGTCCATGAGATTCCCATCCTATCAGTGCCTTTTGTGCATGTTTGGACAGCATCAGTGCAACTCCTTGTGTATGTGAAGCGTTTTCCTCTTCATGACCAGAGTATAACAGCAGTTCCCCTGAAGCTAGTCTCAGTTGTCCTACCTGTGTCCAATGCGTTTCACTGATGCCGAGCACCTCGAGGTTGTATCTTTTCATTTCTGCCGCAACTTGAAATAGTCTTCCAGTTTCCCACAATGTACGAACGTTCCATGTACCTAAAAGAATGGTTGCTCTGGTTGTCAGAAGAGGCATCGGCCCCGTGACTTCCGAGGGAACTCGGCTTTCATCACGCGACGTCATAATTCTTCTTCCAACTCCCAGGGCAGAGTTAAAATGGTTTGAATTATTTTTTCTGGTTAGCGTTTTTTTGGCAAGTGAGATTTCAACGGAATGGGGTCGCCAACCCCATGTCCAACCCTCCTCCTTTATCCGGGCTTGGGACCGGCAGTAGCCCCTAAGGTTCTACTGGCGGAGTTTCTCTGTGTTAATATTGTATGGTAATTTGAACTGATCTACGTACGTAAGAAGTTTAATGTTGTAGCTGACTGATGCAAGCAGTCCGTCTGTTATTATTAAATTTGAAGGAAATAAAACGTGAATTCTAAAAATGGCTTTTACTGATTACTAACTTTAAAGTATCGAGTGTGTAGCAGACAGTGATACAAATTAGTAAAGCTAAAACAATCAATTATATGTACTTTTAATCGACTAGTTTGCATAAAATCTTTACAAATTATCATGATAAAGGTTTGTAGAAAGTGTTTAATCTCTTAATTTCATATTTACTCTGGATCTGTGTTATGTTGTAAAAACCTGTTAAAAATTAAAAAAAAGTATTTAATAGCTGTTTTGTGCGACCAATTAACATTACTCTTTATTGTGAGCTTACAACTCCATACAGGATTGAATTTATGACAATAATGTTTTAGAATGAGAATGATTCTTCAAGAATACTAAGCTAAAATCCAAAGGTTCGTGTTTGTCTTTATTTAATGATCCATTCGATATTGCCACATATGCGCCAATGTCGCACACTGACTTGTTGGACTGGGAACTTATTTCAATTGGCAGTATATCATCATTTATTTAAAGAGTAATTAAATTAGAGGGGTTGTTAAAAGTCACATCTCTCTAGTTCGTACAATATTTATTAAGCAGAAAATATTTCTAAATTAAAATGAATAGACAATAATTTTAATATAGTTGACTATGTTATAGCCAGTAGGTCTAAATTACTTCAATTTCAATTTTAGGGTTTACAAGAGAATACCATTTCAAATTATCTGCAACAGAATCTGTTACAAATGAAAATACAACTGAATGTCCATCTTCATTCAAAGCTGATGATGACAGCAATTCAGAGAACAAACAACATTCTCTACTACGTGAAAATAGAAAAAACTCAAATGGTAACATTCATCATGATGTTGATGATGATAGCTCATTACAATTGGGTACTCTCAAGTTGGACGAACTTACCATCCTTTCCACTCAGTATAACAACAAAGGTAATCAGAGTATTCTTATAATCTGCTTTAAATACATTAAGGTGGGTAAATGGCTTTGTAAAAACTCAGAAAAACTGAGTTATATTTCTGTTTGTTTCACTACTTGTATAATCTTGTCTAGCTTCTTGACGTTTATAAAATACCCACTTATTACTTTAAAACTGTTAAAGCTATAGCTGTTAAAAAAATGATATCTCAAGCAATAATTGCAAGTCTACTCTGTTCCATTCCTTTTAACACCATTTCTGTAATTAAGTCCTCAAACTTATTGTTATATAATTCTCAGATACAACTATATATATTCGTTTTTCAACTTTCGGTCACATCCTCACCTAGATTGTATTTTTGTCCATGTCATTTGCGTTTTCCATTTAATATAAGTATTCAGAGCTGTACTTCATATCATTTCCTCACTCTCCCAATGATTGGGTTTTAGTATATTATACTATCGGCGAAAAAAATCTGTTTTTTCCTAAATAAAGATTTAATAAGACTTTTTTCGGCCAATGATTCGACTCCATTTTGTACGAACAACTGAATATGCTATGAAATAAATCTTTCATTCAATTTCCGAAAATTAATCTTGGGCGAACCCAGTTTATATAAGATGGCAGTAATTAAGGGCCAATTACAGTCTTCGTTGTATGAATTTATCTATTCACTCGCGTAAGCAGATCGACATAAGGACACGGAGTGTCGGCAAAAGAGGAAGCGGAGCAAAACGTAGATGGCAAGCGGACCAACGCATCTTGACGAGACATGACTAAGTATTTATAGTCATTCAGAATTAAGCTAGAAATGTAATAAGCAAAGCAAATAAAACACATATACTCGAATAAGGACAGCCAAGGTGATTAGCAAATAATTGACTAGGTTAAAACATGATTGGATAAGGCAAGAGAAGAATTGATTAATTAGCTTGTCCAGAGGCTAGACCAAGCCATATAGGCTTGACATATTGGTACAAACTATGCGGTGTTGAAGTCAGATGTTTGAAATGGATCAGTAGAACACAAGATCAAGTCACTGTGTTAATCATGTGAAATGATAATCTATCACATAAATTCTACACATTTGAAATCATCAATCAATCATCATTGTTAGACCACCATTAGAAACCTGGAAGCACTGGACGGCCGTTTCGTCCTAGTATGGGACTCCTCAGCAGTGCGCATCCACGACTCCTGCTCCTCGCAGGATTCGAACCCGGGACCTTTGGCATTGTAGGCGAACGCCTTACCATCGGACCACTGGGCCGGCATCCAACGGTGTTAATGTCTAACTCTGATTGATCTAGGGATTTTGCGCGACCTCACCCATTTGTCTTTGGTAGTTACTGCCTACACCCGACAGGGTTGAACTCCACTGGTCACGTCTTCTCAACTAGAACTCCGAGAATTTCCTCACGAAGATAGTCACTAGTGAGCACTGTTACATTATATTGGGGCACAGTTTTGGAGGTTTGCGTTTTTTACACATTTGAAATCATCAATCAATCATCATTGTTAGACCACCATTAGAAACCTGGAAGCACTGGACGGCCGTTTCGTCCTAGTATGGGACTCCTCAGCAGTGCGCATCCACGACTCCTGCTCCTCGCAGGATTCGAACCCGGGACCTTTGGCATTGTAGGCGAACGCCTTACCATCGGACCACTGGGCCGGCATCCAACGGTGTTAATGTCTAACTCTGATTGATCTAGGGATTTTGCGCGACCTCACCCATTTGTCTTTGGTAGTTACTGCCTACACCCGACAGGGTTGAACTCCACTGGTCACGTCTTCTCAACTAGAACTCCGAGAATTTCCTCACGAAGATAGTCACTAGTGAGCACTGTTACATTATATTGGGGCACAGTTTTGGAGGTTTGCGTTTTTTACACATTTGAAATCATCAATCAATCATCATTGTTAGACCACCATTAGAAACCTGGAAGCACTGGACGGCCGTTTCGTCCTAGTATGGGACTCCTCAGCAGTGCGCATCCACGACTCCTGCTCCTCGCAGGATTCGAACCCGGGACCTTTGGCATTGTAGGCGAACGCCTTACCATCGGACCACTGGGCCGGCATCCAACGGTGTTAATGTCTAACTCTGATTGATCTAGGGATTTTGCGCGACCTCACCCATTTGTCTTTGGTAGTTACTGCCTACACCCGACAGGGTTGAACTCCACTGGTCACGTCTTCTCAACTAGAACTCCGAGAATTTCCTCACGAAGATAGTCACTAGTGAGCACTGTTACATTATATTGGGGCACAGTTTTGGAGGTTTGCGTTTTTTACACATTTGAAATCATCAATCAATCATCATTGTTAGACCACCATTAGAAACCTGGAAGCACTGGACGGCCGTTTCGTCCTAGTATGGGACTCCTCAGCAGTGCGCATCCACGACTCCTGCTCCTCGCAGGATTCGAACCCGGGACCTTTGGCATTGTAGGCGAACGCCTTACCATCGGACCACTGGGCCGGCATCCAACGGTGTTAATGTCTAACTCTGATTGATCTAGGGATTTTGCGCGACCTCACCCATTTGTCTTTGGTAGTTACTGCCTACACCCGACAGGGTTGAACTCCACTGGTCACGTCTTCTCAACTAGAACTCCGAGAATTTCCTCACGAAGATAGTCACTAGTGAGCACTGTTACATTATATTGGGGCACAGTTTTGGAGGTTTGCGTTTTTTACACATTTGAAATCATCAATCAATCATCATTGTTAGACCACCATTAGAAACCTGGAAGCACTGGACGGCCGTTTCGTCCTAGTATGGGACTCCTCAGCAGTGCGCATCCACGACTCCTGCTCCTCGCAGGATTCGAACCCGGGACCTTTGGCATTGTAGGCGAACGCCTTACCATCGGACCACTGGGCCGGCATCCAACGGTGTTAATGTCTAACTCTGATTGATCTAGGGATTTTGCGCGACCTCACCCATTTGTCTTTGGTAGTTACTGCCTACACCCGACAGGGTTGAACTCCACTGGTCACGTCTTCTCAACTAGAACTCCGAGAATTTCCTCACGAAGATAGTCACTAGTGAGCACTGTTACATTATATTGGGGCACAGTTTTGGAGGTTTGCGTTTTTTACACATTTGAAATCATCAATCAATCATCATTGTTAGACCACCATTAGAAACCTGGAAGCACTGGACGGCCGTTTCGTCCTAGTATGGGACTCCTCAGCAGTGCGCATCCACGACTCCTGCTCCTCGCAGGATTCGAACCCGGGACCTTTGGCATTGTAGGCGAACGCCTTACCATCGGACCACTGGGCCGGCATCCAACGGTGTTAATGTCTAACTCTGATTGATCTACGGATTTTGCGCGACCTCACCCATTTGTCTTTGGTAGTTACTGCCTACACCCGACAGGGTTGAACTCCACTGGTCACGTCTTCTCAACTAGAACTCCGAGAATTTCCTCACGAAGCTAGTCACTAGTGAGCACTGTTACATTATATTGGGGCACAGTTTTGGAGGTTTGCGTTTTTTACACATTTGAAATCATCAATCAATCATCATTGTTAGACCACCATTAGAAACCTGGAAGCACTGGACGGCCGTTTCGTCCTAGTATGGGACTCCTCAGCAGTGCGCATCCACGACTCCTGCTCCTCGCAGGATTCGAACCCGGGACCTTTGGCATTGTAGGCGAACGCCTTACCATCGGACCACTGGGCCGGCATCCAACGGTGTTAATGTCTAACTCTGATTGATCTAGGGATTTTGCGCGACCTCACCCATTTGTCTTTGGTAGTTACTGCCTACACCCGACAGGGTTGAACTCCACTGGTCACGTCTTCTCAACTAGAACTCCGAGAATTTCCTCACGAAGATAGTCACTAGTGAGCACTGTTACATTATATTGGGGCACAGTTTTGGAGGTTTGCGTTTTTTACACATTTGAAATCATCAATCAATCATCATTGTTAGACCACCATTAGAAACCTGGAAGCACTGGACGGCCGTTTCGTCCTAGTATGGGACTCCTCAGCAGTGCGCATCCACGACTCCTGCTCCTCGCAGGATTCGAACCCGGGACCTTTGGCATTGTAGGCGAACGCCTTACCATCGGACCACTGGGCCGGCATCCAACGGTGTTAATGTCTAACTCTGATTGATCTAGGGATTTTGCGCGACCTCACCCATTTGTCTTTGGTAGTTACTGCCTACACCCGACAGGGTTGAACTCCACTGGTCACGTCTTCTCAACTAGAACTCTGAGAATTTCCTCACGAAGATAGTCACTAGTGAGCACTGTTACATTATATTGGGGCACAGTTTTGGAGGTTTGCGTTTTTTACACATTTGAAATCATCAATCAATCATCATTGTTAGACCACCATTAGAAACCTGGAAGCACTGGACGGCCGTTTCGTCCTAGTATGGGACTCCTCAGCAGTGCGCATCCACGACTCCTGCTCCTCGCAGGATTCGAACCCGGGACCTTTGGCATTGTAGGCGAACGCCTTACCATCGGACCACTGGGCCGGCATCCAACGGTGTTAATGTCTAACTCTGATTGATCTAGGGATTTTGCGCGACCTCACCCATTTGTCTTTGGTAGTTACTGCCTACACCCGACAGGGTTGAACTCCACTGGTCACGTCTTCTCAACTAGAACTCCGAGAATTTCCTCACGAAGCTAGTCACTAGTGAGCACTGTTACATTATATTGGGGCACAGTTTTGGAGGTTTGCGTTTTTTACACATTTGAAATCATCAATCAATCATCATTGTTAGACCACCATTAGAAACCTGGAAGCACTGGACGGCCGTTTCGTCCTAGTATGGGACTCCTCAGCAGTGCGCATCCACGACTCCTGCTCCTCGCAGGATTCGAACCCGGGACCTTTGGCATTGTAGGCGAACGCCTTACCATCGGACCACTGGGCCGGCATCCAACGGTGTTAATGTCTAACTCTGATTGATCTAGGGATTTTGCGCGACCTCACCCATTTGTCTTTGGTAGTTACTGCCTACACCCGACAGGGTTGAACTCCATTGGTCACGTCTTCTCAACTAGAACTCCGAGAATTTCCTCACGAAGATAGTCACTAGTGAGCACTGTTACATTATATTGGGGCACAGTTTTGGAGGTTTGCGTTTTTTACACATTTGAAATCATCAATCAATCATCATTGTTAGACCACCATTAGAAACCTGGAAGCACTGGACGGCCGTTTCGTCCTAGTATGGGACTCCTCAGCAGTGCGCATCCACGACTCCTGCTCCTCGCAGGATTCGAACCCGGGACCTTTGGCATTGTAGGCGAACGCCTTACCATCGGACCACTGGGCCGGCATCCAACGGTGTTAATGTCTAACTCTGATTGATCTAGGGATTTTGCGCGACCTCACCCATTTGTCTTTGGTAGTTACTGCCTACACCCGACAGGGTTGAACTCCACTGGTCACGTCTTCTCAACTAGAACTCCGAGAATTTCCTCACGAAGATAGTCACTAGTGAGCACTGTTACATTATATTGGGGCACAGTTTTGGAGGTTTGCGTTTTTTACACATTTGAAATCATCAATCAATCATCATTGTTAGACCACCATTAGAAACCTGGAAGCACTGGACGGCCGTTTCGTCCTAGTATGGGACTCCTCAGCAGTGCGCATCCACGACTCCTGCTCCTCGCAGGATTCGAACCCGGGACCTTTGGCATTGTAGGCGAACGCCTTACCATCGGACCACTGGGCCGGCATCCAACGGTGTTAATGTCTAACTCTGATTGATCTAGGGATTTTGCGCGACCTCACCCATTTGTCTTTGGTAGTTACTGCCTACACCCGACAGGGTTGAACTCCACTGGTCACGTCTTCTCAACTAGAACTCCGAGAATTTCCTCACGAAGATAGTCACTAGTGAGCACTGTTACATTATATTGGGGCACAGTTTTGGAGGTTTGCGTTTTTTACACATTTGAAATCATCAATCAATCATCATTGTTAGACCACCATTAGAAACCTGGAAGCACTGGACGGCCGTTTCGTCCTAGTATGGGACTCCTCAGCAGTGCGCATCCACGACTCCTGCTCCTCGCAGGATTCGAACCCGGGACCTTTGGCATTGTAGGCGAACGCCTTACCATCGGACCACTGGGCCGGCATCCAACGGTGTTAATGTCTAACTCTGATTGATCTAGGGATTTTGCGCGACCTCACCCATTTGTCTTTGGTAGTTACTGCCTACACCCGACAGGGTTGAACTCCACTGGTCACGTCTTCTCAACTAGAACTCTGAGAATTTCCTCACGAAGATAGTCACTAGTGAGCACTGTTACATTATATTGGGGCACAGTTTTGGAGGTTTGCGTTTTTTACACATTTGAAATCATCAATCAATCATCATTGTTAGACCACCATTAGAAACCTGGAAGCACATAAATTCTAGCATAAAAATTCAAGGATATTGTTGAAATTAGCACCAGTTACATATTTTGCAATTACCATCTGATGACTTATCCAACCGAATATGCAAACAAAAATTTAGAAATGGATTTAATGTCAGCTTCTGCTACTGACTAACCATTTTCTATAATCCTGTATGTTAGTGACTATCGGTGGCTCTAAGATAGAGGTCTCAGTAAACTCCAACTTGGCAGTGAGTGAATGGATAAACAAAGTGAGTGAAATTATTCAATATTAGGATGGTTAGATTGAGGTGGAGATTTCATACCTGATAGCTCTATTGAAGTTACAGTAATTTATTCTCTTATAAGCCCGTCAGGAGAGAATACTTAAAAGTGATTTAACATTAAGTTTTATATTTTGGATTCTCTTATTGCACCTCTGAAATTCTCTCTTTAACACTTCATAACCGTATCCTTGATTTCCAATCTAGTTCTACCTTACTGTCTTCTTTATTTACCTCTTTATGTTATCTGCTGTTCATGGTCGTTTATCAACTAAATGTTGTTTAACAACAATATACTGTACAGTAACTTCAGTCTCTGGTAAGTTCGCCTATAGAGCCAAAAGCTACCTTGTTTACTTCCGGAGTGTGAGGAGCAGCATGTTAGGTTATCTGTAAGCGGAAAGAACCATAAAAAAGGTGAGCCAACGATTCAGTAAGCACATAGAATGCACTTACATCTAATATAGAAAGCAGTCGATAACAATCAAAAATAATATAGGAATGAACTTATAAAAAACTGATAATTGAGACTAGAAGTTGGTAAAGTTAGGTTTCGAATGCGTTACGATAATATTTCTCTAGTAGGAAAATAATCTTTTCATCAATCCAGTCTGTTTTACAGTGGTAAAATTTGTATCTAATTATACCTTAATTTGTCGTGTTCAGTTACTGTGCATGTTTAACAAAGTGTTTGTCTATACACTAATAATTGTAGATATTAATAGTATTTAAATTCAGGTTAGTCGAAAGACTTTAAGCTTCTGAGATAAAAAATTTTTTGGCCTTAATGTGTGGTTGTAGGTTTTTCGGAAACCTTGAAGAATTTATGTCACTCCGTTGCTGACTATAGTAATTAAGCTTCGAAAAGCTCATTTATTTAGCCACATTTTTCTAAAAACTTATTTACCTGTATAATTGCTTGTCTCTAGGCCTGATTAAATATAGCTTTAAATGATTACATCACTTCATGAGATGGTTCATAGTTTGAATATTTCGAATTCTCATGAAATGGTATTATGAGATCATGATACAAAGTTTAAAAAATGAGTTGCATTTATGTTCACATGTTAATTCATCTAACGGATTAACATTTTGAATATAGTTTTAAAATTTGAAAATATTACGTACAAATAGCGTCACAAGTCTAACAACGTTTTCGGAAAGAAAATGATCATATCAAATCGATGAAACTTAAAAATAACTTTGTACAATGAAGTGATAACAGACGCTGTCCAAGACTCGGCCTGTTATAAGGTTTGGGAATTATCCGAAGTATATAGATGTCTGAAGTATCTGAGATAGTAATAAAACGTATATAAACTCTCATCAAGTAGAAATTAAGATAAATTTCTTGAAAAATGATTGCCCAGTACATTTTATTCATACTTAAATAAGGTAGTTCATTAAAAAAATCTGTTACTTTACAAATATTTTTTCATTTTAGTATTTGGTTAACATACATGATATAAAACAACATCACCAATTTTCTCATGTAATACTTTTTAGATCAATCAATACAAACTTGTCAGTCGGTCAATATATCTGGTATAACACAAAGTCAGTTTGTCAATATTATGGAGTTTATAATACCAGCATCTGCTCCTTTCGAGCTTTTGAACAATTGTATGATATATTTGAAAAGATATAAAGATTCAGCTGAAGAACTTGTGGAAAGAAAACTACAGGTATATATTTTTGTATGCTACTGGTTAATTTACATAAAAACATGTATATTCATGTACAAAAGGCAATGATCCATTCGGGAGTACGATTACCTATGTCCAGTTTCCCAGTTGAATGTATACTGGTTTAACTGTTCATGTTTTTATGCAGTCCTTGCCGTAATAGTGATGTTATCTTTACCTAATAACAGACTACAAAATAAGCGATTATTTCTCAACGACTGTTAGATTCCCAATTAGAATTCTAATCTAGCTATGCATACAGCCCTCTCTTAAAATAAGTTCAGATTATACCGGCGATGCTCAATTCTAGATGAGATGATAAGTGATAGATAGGTGGCAGGCAGTTCGGTATCATTGTAAAAGACAAACGACATATGAAGTAGATATTCAGCTGATAAATAACATTCAGAAAATATAAATATCTCCACTGAAGCACTAAACTTAGTTATAATACTGTGATTATGATACCCATGAACTTATTGAAGTTCTTAATGGAAACTTTCATGCATTAAGTCAGCCAGATTAAAAACAGAACACCGGTTTACGCCATGATAATATCAAGATATCTGTTTATGTTACAGACAAAATCAAATCAAAAGATAATCTATTTAGTTTTAACTCAGTAGTCTAGAACTTCCTCGTTTTTGTTTGTGAGGGTTGAGTATTATAGATCTCATCCTCTTTAGAACTGTCAGTATAAAATAGTTAATTGTAACAAAATTAGACCATATATTTTACCCATAGTGTTAAGCCATTTCAATATCACAATAAAAAAGTTGAATAGGATTGAATAATCTTGAAAATAAAATAAAATACACAAATGATTGCTTCCTATCGATAAGAAAATAATTTGTTCTATTCATTGACTATATGGCACAACACCACTTGTGAATGCTGATAATTACAAAGGATTGAGAAAAAAAATCAGCTGCTATTAAGTATAAGTATACATTAGGATTTAGATAATTAATTTTTTTGGATTATGGAATCTCTGTATTCATAGTAGTTCATTGCTAAAAAATGTCCATAAAGATTCAGAGATATTATAGAGCTGACTCAGAGTTCAAAATATTTTATTAAAGCAACCAAAGTTTCCTATCGGGTACTTGAAGTTGTTGGATTAAACCTGATCCTAGTTATATTAAACCTGTCTATTCTACTTTACACTGTAGCTATTTCAGAAGAACTCAAGACTGAAAAAAAACCAGCTGATGAATAAAATATTCTATACATTAGATCAAGAATGTTCTGGAACGTTAAATCTTAAGAGAATTGAAAACTTTATATTAGATTATGAAGATGGATTTTATGAGGCCCATTTAAAGCAAGGTAATGATGATAGCTTCTTCAAACATTTATTTTAGTGTTATCATATTTGTTACTTATAAGTAGCATGTGATGCTAATCATATTCTGTGCGTTTTAATAAATCTCGATGCATTCTCGATGGTTATGTACAACATGATTGCTATAAAATGAAGTTGGAAATCCTAAGCACTTTTGAAACTTTGGCCACTGAAGGTCTTACACATTAGTGGGCAAGATTAGTTTACTCACGAAAATAATTTAGGACTGTTAAAATAAGCAAAGACAATTTTGTTTGCAGTCTTCTACAACAACACTAGGGCTTTCTTGATTTTCTGCAACCTTGATAGTTAAACACCATTTAAAAACAGACTATCAAAAAATATCCAATTTTTCCTCCTATTATATTTCCTTTCTCTTTTGCTACAGTAGTCCAACAATTTCCTCACACTTTTATTCAAACTGTATTGATAACATGATCTTGATGTAGGTCTTTTCTACTATATCAACGAATGGCACTAAAAATAACAATTAAAAAAAATATTATTTACTTACTTACTTACGCCTGTAATCTATATTAGAGCATAGAAAGCCGACCAGCATTCTCCAACCGACTTTGTCCTGGACCTTCTTTCCAGTTATACCCGATTGCCGGTACCATTCTTTTAAGTATGTTTCCGATTTTCGGTGCAATTTGTTCTTTGGTCTGCCTTTCTTCCTTTAGCTTTGAGGATTAAAATTAACGGCTAGCATCGTGATACAGTATCTTTCGTCGACAGCTGTTAGTCAACACTAGTATCTTGTGGATGATGGCTTTCATGGTTCTCCAAGTTTCGGCTCCATACATTAGGATTGTCATGAAGTTTTTACTGGAAGTTCTGACTTTGTTGTTTGTCGATAGTTCTTTTAAGTTCCAGATGTTCTTTAGTTGTGTGAATGCTGCCCTCGCCTATCCAGTCCGTATCCATACATCTGCAAAAAATCCACCTTGTTTATAAATGATACTGCCCCGATATGAAAAGTTTTCCATATCTTCGAAAGCTTCTCCGTCAAATGTGATTTGATTGGTGCATGTTGTGTTGTACCTGAGGATCTTGATTTTCCGTTTTTGCATTTTGAGGCCTACTGCCGCAGATGCTGCTGCTATGCTGGCCTTCTTCATCTGCGTTTGTTTCTGTTTGTGGGGCAGAAGGGCTAGATCATCTGTGAGGTCCAGATCGTCTAGCTTCATCCAAGCTCTTCGTTGTATTGCGTGCTACCATCGACTTTCTAAGTGAATCCAGAACTTAGTTCAGACCTTCAACATAATGATAATGGGCACTTATCAAGGATAAAAACGGATATTTGCACGGTAAAATAGCTGAATATAGATATTTTACTTGGTTTAAATGCTTTCCTACTCCAACTACTTTTCCCACGACCATTCGTGTCAGTCGTTTGATGCATTTTCTAAGATCCAAATTTTCTAGGCTATCCATATTTTGTAATTCCCCACACGCCTCCCACTGAGTAGCCACAATGATAGAGCCTTCTCCGTTCCGCAACTCCTTAACCTTCAATGATTCTATATCTTCTTCCACTAATACGTCAGTTATAAACACTTGACGAATCTCGCCTGCTATGCAACACCGTTCAGCAACTTGTACCAGCTGTAGCAATAAATGAACATCCGTCGCGAGGTTGACTCTCTGGAACAGGTGTACCGAGGCCTCTCTACTCTAGGTTACATTCACAAACCCTCGGTTCATCTTCCTCCTTTGTCCAGCTACAGTCCTGTCCTATTAAAATTCCCGAACCATTGAACTACTACTCAACAATTCCACTTACATTGGTTACGCCTCTAGATCACACGTTTATAAGAGCAATAGACAATGTTTTTAAAAAGATGTCAACTACAGTAATCAGATAGGGAAAGGATTGTATCCTGAAGATACCGTAACCGTTAGGCTGGCATATAAATCTTATGAATTTGACAATGATCACTTCTCTATAGGCCTTCTCTAGAAAAGGGAAAGATAAAGGATACTGTGTGATCATAATGCAGCAATCACTTCGCGTTGATGGATTGAGAAACAAATTCTAAGGGGTGACTCAGTTGTGAATAAAAATATAGGGAAATAATATATAAAAACTTGGAGAAAGGGTTTGCTGAAATTGTTGCGTAAGACAGCATATGTTGATAGTAAAAGAATTTCAAAATTGACTGTTATTCACTTTTATGGTTAATGAAACTCCAATTATAGCATTTCCTTACCTCTAATGATGTTTTTTTAGCTAGGTCAGATTTAGCTTCTAAAATCCAGTTGAGTGGAAGTAAGCAAAATACAAAGTCTTCCTCAGTATCTAATGATCAGATAACTTCAAGTGATGATTTTACTAGCTGTGTAACATCATCATCGTCTGAGATGTTCAACGATCGATTATATCTTCAAAGTTCAAGCAATCAGTTACAAAATGTTCATTATTACTATTATCCAGAAAAATCAGTCGAAATCAATATCAGTGACTTCAAAATTTTATTAGATTACATATTTTGGCCTAAAAATAATCAATATCTTAGTGGTCATGAAGAATTTGACTGCAGTTGTTTGGAAAAGTTTCTTGACTACTTACATGGAAAATTAATACAGACTATAACTGAGAAAATAAGAACACAAATTCGACGAGAATGGATAGAGAAAATTTTAAAAGTTTCACTGAATACATATGATAATTCAGTTGAACTAGTTTATAAAACAGTTTTTCAGGTGAGGTAGCTGATTGTTTTGCATAATTGAAAGATTATACAATTTAAATTAAGATAAGTAACATGATTAGTCTGTCATGATAAGTAGATAGATATATGATGTTTATTATAAAGAATTACTGTGGGAATAGTAACCCTAACTATAATGATGACTTCGACTAATCAATATAATCACTAGAAAAAATAATGCTAGTTTAGTAAGAGATCACTAACTGTTTATCAGAGTTAAATAATTCTAAGCTAATTTAGCTTACGTACTAAGAAAAAAGGTAAGCTCATAAATAAATGAACTGGTTAAACCGAGATCGAATGTCATTACACACATACATGGTTTATCTTTCTTTTTTCGAAACCATGAACCGATCATTGTTAGACTACCAACTGGTATAGGATTCCTCAGCAGTGCACATCCACGACTCCTGCACTCCACAGGACTCGAACCCAGGACCTTCGGTATTGTAGGCGAACGCCTAACCATCGGACCACTGAGCCGGTATCTAACGGTGTTAATGTCTAACTTGATCAATTCACGGAGTTGCGTAACCTCATACACAGTCTTCGATAGTTAGTGCCTATACCCGAACAGGTTGAACTTACACTGGTCACGTCTTCCCACTAGAACTCGAAGAAGATTCCACACGAAGCTAGTCACTAGTGAGCACAGGTAATTTGCATTATGGGGTTTTGAAGATTGTTAAGTTTTTTGAAACCATGAATCAATCAATGTTAGACCACCATTAGAAACCTGGAAGCACTGAACGGCCGTTTCGTCCTGGTATGGGACTCCTCAGCACAACACCATAATGCATGTTTATTTTACTCTTGATATTAACAATCCGGTTATTCTAAATTATTTTCCTAACTTTTTTTTCTTAAACTCAATTCGATAATTTATTGATATGGTAAATTTTTTTCAAATTCGTTTGGTTCTAGCTGAGTATCAATAATAACAAGACTGCTTCACCAAATATTTTTGTAATCTGTTTGGAAAGTTAAAAGTGGACACTGACAAATAAAGAAACGTTAAAGATAACATTCTTATAAAATTTTAATTCATCTAGTGTAACAACTGAATTTAACAAACAATGATCAGACCAATCATCAGTTAAGAACAAGATTATAATTTCTAGTCTACAAGAGTTGAATTTATTTACAGACAATCGCAAGTAATTATTGTTTCCACATTTAAAATTAGGACAATTAACAATAGTAAGCAGTAGTTTGTTATCTGAAAAGATTCTTATACTACCTAAATATTATTATTAGTTTATTTTTAACTCATCATTGAATGATAACTATTTGTTAATACTTACCACCTTCTTTCTATCCATTCTTGCTTTACTCATGAAGACACTCATAAAAGATACAATAAAATATGGTGAACAAAAACAGATCGGTGTTAACATTGCCTTACTTTGTTCACCATCTACAACAACAAATGAAGCATTAAGTGTAAATGTTAATACACAATCCTGTTTACAATATGTAGCGGCTATACCTGAATCAGAAGCTGACATTCTGCTTGGTAAGTGTCCACGGAGAGATGAATCCGATTTATTATGCAAGGTAAGTGGTTAAAAGCGAGTTGTTATTTTATGAACATAACATATTGAAAATTTGTACAAGTTCCATGAACTAATGTAGATGATCAAACAGATAACTGATAAATTGTGTTCAGGTCTACTAAACGATGAGGATTTATTTTGGATATAGTCACTGGGATCAACGTGAAAGAAACAAATTCTCATTTATTATACAGAAATCAATGAAAAATATGAATGCTCTCTGCCGAGTACCTCAGTTCATAGCAAGTCGACAGTAGAATGAATTTTATTGAGATCCCAAAGTGTTCTAAGTTGAAAAACCATTTTAAACTTGAAAGCCACGGATACCCGCTTAGCCGGAATATGGGAGTCCTCAGTAGTATGCATCCACGACCCCGCTACTCACGACCTACTGTCTTGTATGTAAATGTTTAGCCCAGAAATCACTGAACTCGAAACCGCTCTAAGTGCGAGTTTAACTGCAATTAATTCAAGACACTACCTGTCCATCTCTCCAGAAATTCTTCACACTCGATTTGGTTGAAATCCACTGGTTACGGCTTCCAAGAAGACTAAGAGGCTTACACAAGTTCATCAAGAAAGACAAACATTTCTTCATCAAAGATCACCAACTTAAAATGATGATTTTGAACATTAGATAAACCCTATTAATTTCCTTGTCATCTCGAAACTGTTTCGATAAGACACAACAAAATTAAAACCGTTAATTAGAAAAATAATGAAATCTCAGTGTATTTACATAACTGAGACAACGTTGAAATATCACTAGTTTGGATTTTGAGAATTTTGATGTGTAATATGATTTATGTAAATTGAAAAAAAATTGATCCTCTTTAAAAAGTCCTCGCATTCATTGACATATTATTTAATACAACGACTTAAGTTTTTTTCCATTATGGGATTGTGGAGATCGCTAAGTTACTCACTGAAATCATTTTAGACCAAGATTGTTTCTTAGTAAAAAGTAAATTTTCAGAAATCAATATTATGAAATTTGAAAGCCTGTAATTATTGAGAACTATGAATATTAAGCGATTAATACAATAATAGCAATTATTAAACAATCCTAAAGTATGTATATTTTATATATCATTTACAGATTATTGAAACGATATCATTTAGTAGGTATGATATTTGTATTTAGTTTAGTTATATAATTTAAAGTATATTTCTTTGATATTATATATTTATTCTTAAAAGTACGTTAATTCTCTAGAATCAATGTCTTCAGTTTTGTTCTGTATTTTTTTTTATTCATAAAAGTGTTTTAGCACAGGTTTAACATTGGTTCATTCTGAAATGTTGAAATTGAAAAGATTTTCACAGGCCAATAGTGAATCACTTAACACGTCAATATGTTCTGAAACGAACATGCAACCGAGTTATCAGTCACCTTTATTCGCTCTTGCCATACCAATACCTAATGCTAAGCAACATTTTATCGGAGTGATAAAAGTAAACAATTTATCAAAAAACAATCACTTATTCAAGTTTGAAGAACATGAAATTCAATTTTATCGTGTAAGATTTAAATAGTGGCTATTATAAAAATTTTTTGGTTTTATTTTAGATGATAAACATATAAGTTGCGTGCACTGGTAACCAACTTCAAGAATCATTTATTATGAGTTCCACTTGTAAATGAAGGTAGACAATACTCAAACATGTAAACAGCGAAACATAAACCACTGATACTGTTACACAGTCGTTACAAAATGTAACAAATGACCGATCTCTATCCGTTATATTTAACAAGCGATCTAACAGTTCTATTTCTTATGATTTGATGTGTTCATACTACTAATGGGAGTGAAGAGAAATCAGTGTCTAGTTTTGTCACATTTCAATAATTCATCGGTTATTGTTTGGCAGTAACAAAAACTACAAAGCATATAAATTTTACAAGGGCACTGAAATATCATAAAACATCAGATTAGTGTATTTAGATAAGAACATTTACCCAAATAGAAATTATTCAATAGGTTCATGTAAATTTTTTTAATGCAAATACAATATCGACTCACAGTATTCTACATAAGTTAAGGACAATAAAATGTATTAACAAAGTAGAGATTATTTCAGAGTTTAAATAAATGAGTATTGGTTTCTGATTAAATAGGATCAATCAACTCTAATAAAACTAAGGCAAGATAACAACTGGAACATTTAACACCACATCTGAAATTCTATACGCAATCATTTTATTTTGAGAAGCATTAGCACGTATATACTATAACTATTTTATATCATTTTAGACTGAAATTAAACATATCAGATTAAAAGAAACAGAATTTTCCAATATTCAAAGGAAGTCTATACACTGCAGCCCTCACCGTTTCTGAGTGTAGAATTACTATAGAAACGATTCAAATTTCTGTTTAAAATATCTATCACTGATGTTTCTAAATAGTAAAATAACATTTCACATAAAGATGTTTTATCAAGTAACCATGAAAAAGTGAAATTTTCAAATGAGTCGAGGGTGTTATTTTGACTACTGTTTACTATGGAAGTAATATAATTAGGATCATTAAAAGTATTTAATTCTATATTGGACAAACGCGTTATTTTCAAATGATCAAATTCCATACCGACTACTCCATTTTGCTTGATAAACAAACGTAAACTGACATTAAAATGTAGATCGATAAGTTTTACATGTAAAAAATTATTCTCTGATGTTAAATAATTCCACATAGGAAATAACAGCCAATTGGCAAATATTTCTACATTTTTGTAAAATCCAGTTGAAAAATTAATTTTATAAACATCACATAACTTTTTATCACGTTTCATCATCCATTCTTTGATTAAAACATCACTATTCGGCTGACTTTTACTCGACTGCAGCCATATTTCTCCTTGTTCAATAGAAAATTGATCATTATGCTGGTTGATTTGACTAAGTCCATCAAATCCCCATATTGTTATATTCTTCAATGTTATCATCCAATTGTCAACATAATCTATTTGAATTGGATTATTTTTAGTTAAATATGTTTTGCTTCTGTATAATAAAATATTGATAAGTAATCTAATTAGTTTTAAACAACTCTGATCAGTTCTAACGGCGAATGAAGTTATAATGTAATGGGAATGATGTAATGCGTAAATGTTTAAGTTTCCGACATATAGTAATTGGGGAAATTCTAGGAGTAGAAGGCCTGTTGGAAAAGATAAAATTTAATTAATATTAAAACATTCTGAATAAAAATAAGAACATACAATTAATTAAATAACATATGGAACTAATTATTTAACTGTTTTCTTACGATTGGTCAATAAGACGCTGAAGTGGTATAATTATTTACATTCTGAAGTCTTGAAACAAGCATATGAAAAAAACAAGAAATACCTGATCGCTAGTGATTATAAAACAATGAACTTAAATACACGGTCATTTTTAATGATATACTAATGTTAAGTGTGTGATATTAGCTATGTGGCATTATTGATTTAATATGGTGTTACGCTCGTCTCTAGGTATGCTTAAAACTATTACGAGTTCACCTTAGTCGAATAACGAGAACAAAACAATGAACCAGCGTCCAAATCGGCTTCTGTGATTTCTTGACCCAAATATACTGGCAAGAAGTCTTGTTATAGCATAGAAAGTGTATTCTAGAAACACCCAGCCAGCACACAATGAATCCAAGCATACAAATCGCGTTTATTTATATACCACAGAGACGTCCTTGAAAGAGTCGCAAAATAGCACACTAAAATAACACACAATACCCAATCATAACCAAGGATCCTCCTGGTGAGAAAAGTGATCTCAAGGTCAACTGATCAGCCCATTAAATAAATCCAAAATAAACACATATATCAAGCGAGTTCTAGGGATCTAATATCCCCAGCATATGGTTGCAAACAAAATAAGGTGCATCAAAATTTGTATTCCCATCATTAATTTCAGATTTCTACGTCACTTATAGAAATAATCCATTGAAGAGGTGACATCAGGGAAATAAGAAAAAAAAGAATTGCCTAAAATTCACATCAGTTTAATTGATTTCCGTTTGAATATTGAACTACAAAGTTAATACAGTCAATATATATAATTCAAGTGAATACTTTCAGAAACCATATCATTTACAACAATTTCCCATCAGCTCTTATATTCAGAATAAGTCAAGTCAATGAAAAATCTTTACTCTCCTAAATGAAAAAAAAACATATATGTATATATATGATATTAAAATTTAAAATAAATAAATATTTAACGATAACATTACTTACATGTGAAGATTATGCTGACTGTCATTCTAAACAAGAAAGAAATAGAATGAAGGATTCCATATTGGACATTCGAAAAAAAACTTAGTTAATGAATTAGATAACTAGTTGACTTGTTCTGTATTTCAGCATAAGTTATAATATAGTTCAATAAAATGTTCACTTATTATATTTCATTTACATAAACATTAATGTTGATCAATAAAAACAATCGACATATATATATATATATATATATATATATATATATATATATATATATGTCATGAATGATGATAAATCAATTCATTCAGTAGTTTATTACTGTATTCACTATAGATGTAGATGTTTATTGCAGATAGTCTATGCCAGTCACTAAACTATTTGTATGTTTGTACATAGTAAATGTTTATATGAAGCCTTAGTATAGTGTGTTATAGATGAATGAATCTATTTTTGTTTTACATTAGAACAAGTGAATTTAATCACGATATCATTTAAACTATATTTTGTTGATTTCAATAAATTTATAATCAAAATTTTAATTTTCTCTTTAATTTTTTCAATATTTACCTTGTTCATTTCTTTACTGACTGATGAGCAATGTCAAGTGAAGTATTGAAACGTCAAGATTTATTAAATTTTGTACATTTAATACGATTAAAGATGTTGTTTTAATGATAATTGACATCTTAAGTTTAGTTTAAGTTATAAAACTTAATTATTTCAGTCATATTCCTAGCAAACGTGTTCATTTGTCATTTTTATTAACAATGAAGTTTATTTAACTGTCAGTAGCAAGATAAATAATTCGATTATTGAAGTTATTTAATGATTTATCTTGTTTTTTAAAGTTAAGAATAAAAGAAAAACTAAATGATTTTAAATTAAATAATTAAAAATTAGAGCGAGTATTTATTATCCAAAAATCTTTAATCAAAACATTTAAAAAATTGAATTTCCCTGTTAATTTTTAAATTATTAACAATAGAAATATAATGCATGTGGAATCTCTACAAAAAAAATTATTAGAAAGACAGAAAAAACAACTATCTAAAATGATAAGTGCCCACAAATAATCGTTTTAATTGACTGTCCTGAATTTTTCATAACAGCTTATAAAAATCTCTGATTTCGATATTGGATTCGAATGAACAAATCAATGAGAACAGTCAAGTCAAAACAAACAAATATTTGCCGATAAATTTAAAAAGAATATTATAAAGGATAAAATTTTCAAAATCTAATGATCTTCAACTGACCATATGTTGTTAAATTTTATTTTAGAACTTTTATAGAAACGAGAGCAATTATTAAATTTTAGCTGCTATCATAAAAGTGCACATTTGATAATTTGTATGTTGGTCAACAGTCAAAATTGCAGTTACAGTGTGCATTATTTTAAAAGAAAAATACTTTTATATAATAAAGTTGGCTTAAAATATAATCTACATTTTTTTCCAAATTCATTTTAATTTAATAGTTTCTATACTTTTAATGTTAATTAATATTATTATTAAAATCCTTTTTTGCTCTATATATTCTAGGGTGTTGCTTATCAACTAGGCTTTGCTTTTTCACTTATAAACAGTCGTTATCTACTTAGTTCCATGGTACAATATGCATTTGAATGGATTTATCAACGACTAGGTGATATTGATGGAATTATATTTTATCATCGATATACTGACGATGATGATGATGATGATGAGAATGATGACGATGCTACTGACAAACATTCTACCAAAATCGATCCAACAAGTGAGGCAATATATACATCATCAAACAAAGAAGTTAATTATAAATTATGTAAACTTGTATCAAAATATGGTATTCACCAGACAACCAATCATACTGACCTATATGTAATTAGTAAAAAGAATAACTATTTATAGTAAGTTATATTATCCTATGAATTATGGTGTTATTGAATTAAGTGCGTACACTGACGTGATTATGAAGTATTTGATATTATGTCTATTCAATTATGCATAATATATAAGTAGTCTAATGAAAATAAAAATATTTTTAATACATAATGAATAATATAAGTTGATTATGGTGAAAAAGGTTAAACTATTCATAAATCAATTTAACTAAGCATAATATCAAGAGGAAATCAGTGTTTTCTAGTTGCTTCGTTTCATTCAAAACGAATATGAACATACTTGAAAGTAATGAAAACTATTATTTTTATATGTAGTACCAGTTAATTAATTATCATAGTGTAAAGATTATAGGGTTGTTAAAATTAAATGAATTTTCAAATCGTTTTTATTTGAGTCTTTTCTAGTGATTCTAAAATACGATAGATAAAATGATTGTTTTGTACTAATTGATCAAAAGGGTTTTTGATTGTATATAAATTCACAGAAACATTTAAATGATAACAAAGTATCGTTACCAACTGAAAAAAGGAACGAATCAATATATTTCGTAAAATGTTACTAGTTTAATTTTAGAGAACCTTGTATTCAATAAAGTAATATATATATATACATATATATATATATATATATATATATATATATATATATATACCAAAACAAAACTAACAGCCAGTTCAACATGAAGTAAACAGTGTGAATAACAGTTTTCGTAATATATATACATATATATTCTGTAGAGTTGTTTTTTTATATTAAAAAAATATTATTCCTTTACAAATTATGCTGAAAGTATTGTGAGATTCACTGAAGTGGCGGTTGAATTCATCGAAATGACGCATCCGAGGTATATTTACATCAAAAGACAGTCTTGTTTACTCGAGGTTATTGTATATAAATAGTGTGTGGTTCTACAATAAATCGTAATTGATTAAATTTTAGCTCACATTCAACTTGATAAGGCAACAACCAGAAATCAATCGTAAAACAGTCTAGCGTAAAAATAATGGGTTCAAAATGGTTGTCTATGCAATATGCGTGTCAACCAATAAGAAAATACCCAATTTGTCGATAATTAATTCAACCAATGAGGCCTTAGAAAATAGGAATGAACCCTGAATACTAATAAGTAATATGGTCATAAGTGAGAATTTCACAAGTATAAATTTAACTATTTATAGTGTTTCTACTGAAATACATTTAGTTTAAACTATGTCCTAATTTTTTTTCTTCCAAACCATCTTTTCAAAAATGAATTTCATTTCTTAATTTTAAAATATGCTCATATTTTTTTAACAGTTGAAACTGACTAAATTGATTATTTTTTAATATGTGTACAAGGTAAACAGCATACAGAAAACATTCATTATATTATGTAAATTTAATTAGTACAATCTTGTCAGATGAAACAATCAAATTGAAATGATTTATGTTAGATTTTAATGTGTTTATTCTACTGTTTTTTTTAAAAAAAACATTAGATCTAGTTTCTATAATATCCACTTCATTTCTTAATCACTAGTAGTATTATGTAACTTTATCGAGAATTTGTATCAAGAATAGTTTATTCTAATAAGGACTTATTTGTTTATAATGAAAAGTATTCTTTCCAATTACAGATTGAAATGATTAGATGAAGGTATTTAGTATAATAATATTAATAATAATGATAATAACAATATGCTTCGTATATGCTATTTGGACTCATAGATTTTTATTATATAATGATGGGATCTCTGAATCGTTAAGGTTTTTGTTCAAGTTTCTACAATAAAAGTCTTAATAGTTAATCATTCCTAACGTGATGAGAATGTACAATGACGACACACAGAATAACTGGTCATAAACTTCCTATAAATCTTCTACAATCTTGAATAACTACCTTGTTGTCGACAATTAACAATGAAATGTCAGTCATTCTAGCTACATCATTTGTTGGTGTCTGAAATCATCATGATATTCATTCATTGAATACTATAGTTATTATTGCTTATTAAAATGTTTCTTTACCATATGAAATTAAATATGTGAATATTATTGATTCACTAGAGAATGGAAATGCAATCATCACATATCATATTCCCCTATAGCTAAATAATATGATACGTATGTTTCCAAAATCAATAGGTTGTTTAATAAAAAAAACATTGAATAATTTTCTTAACAGTTGTAATCTACTAACAAGTAGTATAATGACTATAGTTGTAAAGGTGTATATAAGATGATATTGTGTTTCATTACACAAACAGTATATTGATTAAGAAGACAGTGTATTTCAGTGTACCTTTCTAACAATCACATTTACCAAAGTATTTCAAAAAATATAGCGAATAAAAATTAGCACATTTAGTTACAGAATGAAGGGCCGAGATAATGATTAAGAAACAAGTTCATCTTAATTAACATTCATAGCTGTAACTAGTTAATTAGAATATATATATATCTGATGATTTAATTAATGAATAGATATTTTTTTAAAAAATAACACATCTAAATTTTCATATGGAATTTGTTGTTGATTTTAAGTGAAAATACTTGTAAATAACTTGATACGTGCGTGTTGTTAGTAAACTATCATTCTAAACATAGGAGCTTTGATAATTAAGTACACCAAATTTAAGTCCAAAGTATTTTTGAAAATCTTAATTATACACTACTTGATATGCATGCATCTAAGAAGGCAGAGAAACAGAAACTGATTTGACTGTGTATTTCTAATTAGTTATTGTAAATATTCATGACTATGATTTGAGCTTTTGAATTTTTACTATTTAATCACTTTTTGTCCTGTCAATTTCATAAATAACACCTCACCTTAGTATGCAACAGATCAATGCACTAATTCAATAATGTTTAAAAAAATAGTGATCAAATTTGTTGTAGTTATGCATCCTTTTTAATGTTTAAGTAAGTTTAATCATGAATTATAAAACAGCAGCAGAGCCAATTCCATTTGTTCATAATACTTTTTTAATTTCTAGCATTTGATATAGTCAACCAAACACATGAAACAATAGATTTTGATGAAATTTTGCTCTTTAATCTGACCTGTTTGGTTGATTATAAACAAGCAGAAATTAGTTTCATGAATATCATCTTTTTGAGTTTCAAATCTTCATTAAAAAAAAAACAGAATTACTATGTCAATAGTTTATTAAACAAATATCTAATCAAAAATTACTGAATTCATTACAAATTTTGCTAATGTTAATAGTTTGAATTAACATAATAAAGATAACTAGTTGAAAATCTTCATAATTTAATTTTGTGATTTAAAGGTTGCACGGTTTTGTACTTTTGTTTAGTTGCTTTATAGTAAATGCAAAATAAATGATAATTAAAAGACCAGTATAGAGTCATAACAAACTGCATTATTTCATGAATAAACAGACAGTAGTATTCAGTTCATTGATTTGAAAGTTTAACTGAAAATACTATCACTATATGCTTCTTATTAAGAAAGAATAACAATTTGAGAATGATTTCAGGCAGTTATTTTGCATCATTAAACTGGTATTTGAGAGCTGTCTAGTTAAAATACTATTCTATTGTCACCAAACATCATTTAATTTCATCTGCATCAAAATGTTGACTTGATGAATTGTAGCAAGTTATCAGAATTCTTAAGTAATTCATTTCAAACAAGTGATAATCTTTCGAAAGGTCATAACTACCCATTAACCCTATCATGACAGTGCAGTAGCATTTTATAACGTGTAGTAAATGATAATTCCATAAAAATAACATGAAATAGATGAGTTTATTTAAATTTACATCTTCCTGTTTGTCTACTGTAAATTAAGTTCAAATGATGGTATACTTGTAATCTTTGGCAAGCGAGATTTATTGTAAGTCAGAAATATTAAAACTAATATTAGATTCACGTGATCATTGTAACCGTTATTAAACAACTCTTGTCATCCGATAATTGTGTTCGATTTTATTTCAGGCGTTGTATAAAGGGCTAGGTCAATGAAACCTGATGCACTTTATCTGAATAACTATTTACATACTTTCATAATAACATTTTTGAATTTATCATAAAACTTATTGTCTAATCAAACACTCTAGTCAAGTGGTCAACTATGTTTCGTATATCTGCTATTTATTCAATTGATTACCTATTAAAGATAGAGTCAAGTTCATGTTTTCCATTTAACTAGTTAAAATGTAGTGCCTCCACATTTATTTGCATCTGCTTACATTTAATTTGGTCAAGCCTTCTGATTAATTTATTTAACCAAGCCATTTGTATAACAATAACTTATATGTACCATTGGCTTTTATTATTGTGTGGTTTGTATGAGCTGTTATGACTGAACATCGCTTAACGCCTACGCGTATATGCACCTTATTCGCTTTAATATTAATCTCTTAAATATCACAATGACTCAGGCATTTTTCTTTGTTCATATACGAACATTTTAATCTTATTAATTGATTCGCCCATTCGCATATTCGCTCGCTAGTGTGTCTGCTCGGTCTGCTTGTGGTCTGCTATCCTTTTTTGTGGTGTGCCAAAAATAAATGTATTCAACACTTCGAATTCGCCTTCTGATTTGTAAGCCGTCAGACGCTATTTAGTAACCATTGTCTGGACGAGCTAAATGCGAAACTTAAGAACACCTCGAAATCGGCACACTAACAAAAATAGTATTCCGCTGAACAATTCAGTTATTTCTGTTCCATTAAGTTTCTTTAATTGATCTTGTAAATAAGTTCAGTTTAATTGTTTTAAAAAAGAGTTAAATTTATAGACAGACTTGATAATTCTTTCAGCAGTAAACATCGAAATATCAAAAATAATGTTCATATTCCTCTTTTAGTCAAATTTTCGGATGTACCTCATATTTAAGTTAAATCTAAATATGTGACTGACACATTCATTTCAATTTAGCATAGTCAATCATTAATTAAATCTACTTGAATATATAGACAATGAACATTTGGCAAATTAAGTTATTTTCAATCAATATACTTTATTTGTCCATCAACAAAACGACCAAATTCAGTATCCTAACATTCTATCTGTATGAAACAAAAGTTCAGTATAAAGGACGGCGGGACTATTCGAACAATCATTGTATTAAGCATAAAATTAATAGTTGAAACCTTTAATTGTGATTTGTATGGGATAGTTTGATTTAAAAAAAGGTAATTAACATTGCTTAGGTTATAACTCTTATTTATAAAGTCTCATTGGCAGATACTTCTCGAATGATATTTCCGATCCCTAATCTTTCCGATTACTGCTACTACTACTTGCTATTACCTGTACTACTATGGGATTTGAAATGACAATTCTATCTCTCTGTGCTAATGTTGTTGTATGGCAACTGGAAGTGATGCACGTACGTACGTACGTACGAAGTTGTACACTATTGCTGACTGACTAACTTATTTATAAAGTGAGTGTATATTTTGTGCATACTTGAAAAACCATTTTTCTAATAAAACATTGTTTTCATTCATATTGGCTGTGTATATTTTTTAATTACTGTAGTGAGAAAAACGTCTTAACGTCTATTTTCATTCGATCATACCTCGAATTAGATGATCAGTTAACAGTATAACTCCTCATTCATTTTCCTTAAAAATGAATGGTGCTTTCTAGTCATAACTTCATGTGTATTTATATCCAATATTGATTATTTTTTTCCTTTTTATATATTCTTTTAATCAAATAAACCTGTCTTGTTTAATACCACTGATAATGAATGAATGACGCACAGTTCTTTCAGCAAAATACGAAGTTTATGGGTCATAAAAAAATAGTTAATTACTTTAATGGTATTATTTTGGATTGTGCTTTCTTATTATTTCTAAAGAAACATTTGGTTATGATATCAACAAGACCAAACAGTTTTTGCAAATATCAAGATGATGATGTGTAAAAACTGATTTCTATGTATATTTAATGAGACACTGAAGTATATTTATTGACATAATACTGGCAGATTCGTTCTCTCAATTTAGACAAAAAAGAAATCTAAGTCAAAGTTAATATCTATGAGTGGCTAATGGATGAGACTATGTTTTAAAATTATTGGAAAATGTAATTTTAGATACGCGTTTTATGTGATTTTTAGGCATTATGAAATCTGGAATAAAAGATGTCTGCCGAAAACACTTAGAAAATTGTAAGTCTGCCATAAAATCGAATCACCCTGCTTTGTGATTAACAGTAAGAAATGAAATTGACTACTATCCAGTGATTGATCACAATGAATACAAATCTATTTGGGTTATAAAGTTTATGAAAACATTATTCGGAATGAGGATAATGTAAATTTTTTCAATGTTGTTTATGTTTGAGCTGTCTTTTAGCGTAATCAGTTATGTGTTTTTATTTACACAACCTATAACACATTATGAATAATAATATTTCACATAGTTGTACAAAAAAAACAACCCAATATCATTACTGTATAACAGATCAGCGATATCAGCGGATACTTGTTTTTAACATGAAAATTTTAGAAAGTTTTATATTTTTTTGTTTATATTTTTAAAACTGATGCATCATATAAATATTTGAATTATGAATTAATAAACATTAATTGCTAAACACAGATAAATTTGTTTATAATAAAAAAAAACGATTTTTAAAATAAAAAAGTGATTTATGTCATGAATTAACAGTGTTATTTAAAATTATAATCATTTTCTATTTGTGATGACATAATACAATGATCATAATTTTCATTTTGTGTTATATTCTTAGATATGATTTGTTCATTGGAAAATTACTGTTTTTAATTCATAATTAAATAAAACATTTTTTCCATTTATTAGAATTTAGAAGTAAGTTCAAACACTGTGAAACGCCATTTCGTTTCAACAGTTGGATTGTAGTACTAGCCATCGTAATCAAAAAAATGTACCACCGAGCGGAGTCAATGAATTTGTACTTTCTATACAATTTGCTTTTTCGTACGTAATATAAAAAACAATAAAATGAATAATGTTCAACTACACTAAATAAGCTTAAACTCTAATTTTATATCCAAAGTTCTAAATTTGACAATTTTTCATGTACCTTTTAACGCATTGTCATTGGCCCTACAGTTAGGTATAACCACAATAAATGTATAAATTTGCAATGCACACATTATCTTGATACCATGTGTGTCCCATTTATATATCAATGACAAATATATATGAAAGTTCACATGTTAAAATAAATTGAATTGTATTAAGATCATAAACCAGTTGTGTACAGTTCCGTTTGTTGTTAACGTCACTATGTTCAGTGGACACAATATTAATGCTTATCATTTTTATCAAAGACAAGCCAAATGTAAAAATGGTTTATCGATATATATGTTGATAAAACAACTGTATATATAATATAAATGCACTATAAATTTCTTAAATATATCTAATATGACCTAAACAAGTTAGGTCAGGACTTGTAACTACAGTTAACGACTGTTACAGTTTTTCAATGTCTCTTGCATTAAATATTTTTAAACTCAAATTGTTTAAGCTGATAAAAATCAACCATGTATAACATACTTTTACTTTACTTAATTTACATAAATAAAAAACAAAACAAAACAATAATTCATAAACTTTTCATGAACTTATGGTGTGGTGCTGTGTTGCGAACTACTTATAAGTAGTATATAGCGTGAGTGTCAACGTAAAGTCTGGTAGCATAATATGGGGGGAAGATCAAGAAAGGAAGAGTCAGAAAACAATGGAATTTGTATGAAACGCATGAAGAGTGACAATGGATTGATGTTTGGCAACAGGAACAGTCCAGTTCCATAGTATGAACTGATCTTTTGCAAATGAACGATTTACGATATGGTTTTCCGATTTTACTGACTAACTCTGTAATTTTCGTTAAATACAATTCGGTTGCCCCCACCTGTGTTCTCATTCACTACATTTGGTGTCGCTGCCTGCTCGAAGGAAGGGGCTCCCGTGGCCGAAGGAGTTGCAGGGCGGAGATTGGCGGAGCTTCCTGGAGGAGTTTGGGGCCACGGTGGAGCTGGTGGGGGCTTGGGGCGGAGTTGACGGTGCTGGGGACGCTGTGGGGAGGTGAGGCGAAGGCGGTGCACGACAGCCTGGACGGTGCCACCAAGGAGACGGCGTGGGAGACGGTCACCGGGCGGCTGATAATGGAGTTCGACAGCCCAGCGGACAGGGAGGAGGCGCCGCAGTGGTTCCGGTTGGCGCGGCTGTCGGCCGATGGTGACCTGTTGGTGCTTGCTGTGGAGCTCACCGGATTGCGCCGTGAGGAGTGGACGGGGCACAGTCTTTGGCGTCGCAATTTGTCGAGTGTGTGCCTGCCGCCGTGTTCCAGCATCGGGAACTTGTGGACGCTACGCGTTGGATAGATGCCGTATCCATTCCAGACCAGTGATCAAGAACGATGACCGAAGTGGTAATCCGGCATAGTGTAGCGTGTCACGGAATACGGAAGGTGATATTAACTGACCAGGAGCTCTGTTTTGAAGGACCACGACGACAGCTTATTAAAAGGGGGGACGAGTGTGGTGCTGTGTTGCGAACTACTTATAAGTAGTATATAGCGTGAGTGTCAACGTAAAGTCTGGTAGCATAATATGGGGGGAAGATCAAGAAAGGAAGAGTCAGAAAACAATGGAATTTGTATGAAACGCATGAAGAGTGACAATGGATTGATGTTTGGCAACAGGAACAGTCCAGTTCCATAGTATGAACTGATCTTTTGCAAATGAACGATTTACGATATGGTTTTCCAATTTTACTGACTAACTCTGTAATTTTCGTTAAATACAATTCGGTTGCCCCCACCTGTGTTCTCATTCACTACAATGGTAGATGGTCAACAAAGAAATCAAATTTTCATGTTTATCTTGTTAATTAATCCGTGTTGTAGTTAAATTGATGGTTGTTTTTAAACGTTTATGTATTCCTGTATATAAAAATATATTGAACATGATGAATAAAAGCCTTAAACTATTTCTTTTATACATCTATCACTTCACTATTCTTGAAATTCAACTGAATAGTGTAATGTAAACAATTAGGCAGTCTGGATTAACTGATGAATCAGTTTACATTAAACACTAATATCAAACTAAATGTGTGTTATCCATTTCAACACATCCTTAACATATATCTATCTACATATATATTGTTGAGTGAAGAATAAGAGGCTGTTTTAAAAAAAAAGAATATTCAGTCAACTGTTAAACATTGCACTTATCATAGTCCTAATTAAATCGAATTAGGAGATTGTAGAAATCAGCAGTTCAACTGTAAACAATATAGCCATTCCAGTCAGTATACCACATTGATCGTCTGCTCGTACCCTAGTTTTTTCTTTAACTTTTACAACTACTAATTAATTGATTCTAAACTAAATGACTAATCGTTTGAAAGTCAAATTAAACTTTCGCTTACATTCAATTTCAATGATCATATATACATTAGATCAATTTCAGTACATGATATTTATGCCAGTTAGCCGATAAATTTATTAAGTAAAACATAAGATTTACATTTTAAATAATCAGTCTGAATAAAAAAAAATTTTGTTCTTTTAAAGAAAATAACAATCTGAACTGATGCACACACGTATGAAGTTCTACGTTGTAACTGACTGACTGAGTACAATTCTGATGAAGTTATTCTTAGCTGTTAATTATATAAAGAATATCTACCGATAAAAATTCAATATATTTCATCACGTCATTGTTAACTTGTTCTTGCTTTTTAGCTACTACCTATTTGATGCACTAGAATCTGGATATTCATCGGTGAATCGTGTTCTGGGTCGAACACATTATACATTTCCGTTTACTACTGATTCCAATAATAAAGTGGTAGGTATCATCGATGTCTGTTGTTTAAACGTGCTGAATAAACATCGATTGGATTATTTACATAAAAGTTTAATACTTTTGCAAGAAGGTTATGAACATTTAGTGAATTATACAGGAGTAAACACACATGGTCAGTATACTAATACAGACGAATACAAGACTACATCTAAAAACCATGAAGAAATTGAAATCAATTCACAAGTGGAAGAAAGTGGTGAATCCAGCTGGATGAATGAAAACAACAAATTCACACCTAGAATTATTGTGAAAAAATTAATAAAAATGGAACTCCATCTTTTAACTTTAAAGATTGATGAAGATGTAAGTTTGTTAAAACAAAAATTATTGATCACTTTGACGAATTAGGTTGAATGGCATTAGTTTTAAACTATATGGATGGTGTGAAATGGTGTATTTAACAAGCAATTCAACTATGAGATTAGAAATTTTGAGAATAATTATTATTTAGGATCAAATATGTTTTTAAACCAACTTGAAGAGAATCTTCGTGTTACTGGTAAATAGTGAAACTGTAGTGAACGAGAACACAAGTGGCGGCAACCGAATCGCATTTATCGAAAATTACAGAGTTACTCAGTAAAATTGGAAAACCATATCGTAAATCGTTAATTTGCAAAATATCAGTCCATCATATCGAACTGGACTGTTCCTGTTGCAAAACATCAATCCATTGTCATTATTCATGTGTTTCATACAAATTCCATTGTGTTCTAACTCTTCCTTTCTTGATCTTCCCCCATCTTCTGCTGCCAGACATTACGTTGACACTCACGTCATATACTACTTATAAGTAGCTCGCACCACAAAACCAGTTACAGAATGAAATAGAATATTAATAATCAGTGACTTTTCGCTAATCATGCCTGACAATAAAGTTTATCACTCACTAATTAAACGTTGTATAGATTTTACTATCAACAAAAACCAAGTCGAATCATATGATTTAAGAAGAATATGTCAAAAAAAGATAGAAAGTCCATCGATATTATTAGTCGAATCTTGTGTGGTAGTCATTCACTTTGTTGTAACGCTTGCTTAGATAATTCCCAGCTAATTCCTATTGCTTAGTATTCTCTGACCACAATACACTTGACAAGTTCCAGAGAATCAAAAACACGGTGGAACAGGAAAAGTTTATATTCCAAATAGCAAGGTTAAATGGAAATAGGAAGCCGAAAACGAAGGTAAAATTAGATACAACGTTAGTTTATTTATAGTATTTACATGAGAAGCTTCTGGATAGTAATCCACGTGATCGACTGGATTAGATTTAACCAATCAGTGTGCAGCTAACAACACGAGAATTTTCTACCCTATTCTCCAAGAATCGATCAGGCGCTGATTGGATAGGAAATTAGCCAATCATCGCGCAGCAACTTATTCATGCTTTAATTCCATCTATGTACCACTAACACACTTATAAAAATATTCTTTAAGATTTAGTTTTATTTTTATGTGTAAAATAATTCCTGGTTAATTAAATTCATTTACACAGCTTTCATTATTTCAATATATCTGTGTATAATCCAATTTGTAAACCCAGTTAGTATTATGTAAAAACAAACTAGGAGAATATAGTTGACCAGTCGGATGATTTATTTCCTACCGTTCTTTTCGTTATGACATTCATCATAATGTTGATGAATTTTTTTCAATCGTAATTTAAAAATCTGTGAATTATCTGATGTTTCACGTTTCACAAGGTATTATCACATAAACATATGATGAACAGGCAAGACAATCAGTTTTTTGTTAAGTCATTAAACTAATCTCATGTTTCAGATTGATTTCTAGTAATTTTATGGTTTGCTGATGCTGCGTTGAAACCAGAATAAATAGCTTATTTAAATACAGAATTTCATTTAAAACATAATTATTGCTTCATAATTTGTCTTTCTAAGACTCATAATCATTTGATTCTTATATACACTTTAGAAAACTCCAAGTGGCCTAAACAATTAACAACAAGTATACAGTTAAAATAAAGTTGTTTATAGTACAGAGCCAGTATTATAGCCGTAAATTTAGGGAACCTGTTCAATATAACTAAAAAATATAAAAATTAGTTAAAATAGTTTTGTGAATTTGCTTACATGATAAAATGTAATTCAGTAGTAAAATTGGAAATTTCTAATCCGAGTGAAATAAACGTTGGATTGTTATTATAATTATTTTATTAACTAGGCTGACATAAACTAATCACCAATTAACAAAATAAACATCTTGTCATTAAAACTTGAAAATTTTCTAAAAATTAGTATTATTATAATTTTACAAACTGTTTAACGTGAAATAAACTTGTTGCTATTTCCACTTTGCAATCGTAAAATTATTGTCTATGACTTCATGGATTTGTGCCATGTTTTGGCCGCTTCTAGCTTTCTTCCAGCCTAAACCTCGAAACATCACTCGTCGGGGCAGATGGTAGTTGGGCATTCGCAACACATGTCCCACCTCAACTTACGTAGGCTAACTTCGCTCTTCGTCACGTTTAGAGCCAGGTGGGATAAGTATACGAACCTCTATCAGTTCCGTGGATGCTACTGAGAACCACGGCTTCTTCCTAGCCTCATGGTTGACCTTACTAGCAGATATCACCGGTCTTTCCACAGCCTTTTCAATATCATTCCAAGGTGCATCCGGATGGGAATCACGTACATGGCTGCCTAACTTTTTGGGTGGATCTTATAGTGTCGCGGCTAATAGAACAGATAGTGGCGACCGCCGGCTGAAACTGTGCTCAGATAATCGCCTATTCGTAGCAAACACTAACTTTAGGTGTAAGGAAAAACATCTAACCTGGCAACCCCAAAGGACGAGTGTACTGCACAGTAGTTTGCTCCGTCCTACTATATGGATGCGAAACGTGGCCGGTGAGAGTGAAGGACTTCCGTATGTTATCATTATTCGATTATAGATGTCTTCGAAGCACTGCTCGTATATTATAGGAACCCCGAGTAAGCAATGCTGTCGTTTGGAAACGAGTACTAAGTAGGGATGGTAAATCAATAGATGAACTATTAAAACTACATAGTTTGAGATGGTTGGGAGATGTGTTACGAATGCCCAACCACTGACGGCCTCGACGAGCAATGTTTTGTGGTGTAGGCTGGAAGAAAGCTAGAGGCGGCCAAACCAAAACATGGCACAAATCCATGAAGTCACTGACAAGTGGACTGAGTTATGTTGGTAAATGCACACTACCTGGTTGGCGTCCGCGAGACGAAAGTAACCGATGGTTAGAGACTTTGAACGACATGGCTCAAAATCGTCTGCAATGGCATAGGTGCATCCACTATGTGTTCTCTCAAACTCTAACCTGAATTCCTCATCATCTCTATCTTTCTCTTTCTAAAGTTATCTCACTTAACTACACTTCTTGAATAATATCTTCGAACCGTAATCTTCTCCATTACTGCTAATACCTCTACTGTCTCTATCACCACGGAAACTGAACCGACAGTTATTTCTCCATGCTAATGTCAAACTTTTATGACTCAAAATGAAATTCACCTTTAATGCTTTTCTAAAGATGATTTTAATTTATCAATTAATTTTTAATCACACTGTTTCTGTTAATTTCAAAAAGCTTCTCACCAATATAAAAAAATATGAAATAAAACTTTGTGATTCTGAAATCTATCTATTGTGGACCGTAATACTGTTGTTGAATCCTTCCGAAGAATATAACAACTCACTAGATCAGGAAAATATTTTCAAACTTCCGGATGCAATGATAACTGGTTTTTATAAGTCGATTGTAGATTATGATCCTTTCATTGGTGAACAACAATTGACCAATTTACAAAAAACTCAGTTCAATGAAATCTATGAAAGTAAGCTAACACTATGATGTATCAATTAAATGAACAGCTTGATCTAATGTAATATTCCTTTGTTTTTCTTGATTTATACTAACTACTACACTCAAAATTCAAACACATTAGTTTGAATAATTCATTCTATGACTGGAACAAAAAATTTAATCGAATCTATGAATGGTTATATCACATAATTTAACACTACTTAAATAGCACTGAATCCACTGTATGAATTTTGTCGGCTGCGTGGTTTGTATTTCAATCAGAGTACATTTATCTATGAAATATCTTATGTTCAGTAGAAAAATGAGTTTAGAAGTCCTAGCGGAAAAATTATCACCGTCAAAATATCAACATAAGTAACCACGGTAATTTTTTCAAATTATATATATTTATATATATGGAAATTATGCAAAGGTATTGTATATGTGTATATAAATTAGATAAGTATATATCTAGTGTTTCGTACTATTTCGGGTAAGCTGTTTCTATCAGCATGCACAAATATTTCAAAGGTAAGTTAATTTTCATAAAAAATATATAAATAATTTATTTGTAATTTATTTCATAAGCTAGAAAAATACAACTGATCTTATTTACAATTTAAACTTTTCATTTAGAAATTTCAAATGAACAATTAAAACGGTATTCATGTGAATCAATAAGAAATTTGTATGAATGGTTGAAATTATGCATTCTTGTATGGAAAGAAAATAGTCGCATGCATTATAGATAGAAAAAAAAATCATCTATTACAACACAAAAAGTAACAACAAAGAAAATAAATTTTCTACAATCAGTAAACAACAATCAATCAGTAGATAACAACAATTGATTAATCTACCAAGTGAATGTAAAGAAATTACAGATTTCATAATTTAAAAACTGTTAACTTTTAACCTGTTGAAGATATTACATACAGTATTCTAACTGTTTAGAAAAACATCCATTAATGATAACTATACAAACAGTATCAAAGTTGTTGATATTAACAGAAGTGCTTATTTTATGCATTATGGAATAATTCACATTACGGACAGTTCTTATTAGAACAATTAACGTGTCTGAATTATCACTGCGTTTTGAGAGTAGGATATATGATATGTATGTATATGAAAAAGGACCAATCTATGGTACCGGTCTTTAAAAGTTAAAGATCAAGTACCAAGCTAGGCAAAGTGTAACGGTATAAACGTTGAGTTAAGGATTAGAATGAAAGATAATTCGATATATAAACTGGGAACCAAAAATGTTTGGATCACAGCAAAACGATTATTGAGCAGAGTAGGCGGATAGTACATAGACAATCCCACACGTTTGTTTGCAGATTGCATTCTGCGTCGCATATCTAGAATACCATTGATGTAATAATCCAACGCATTCTATTGATTAACCACTATCGTAAAAATAAGTATCACGTCACAGAATCTGATAGTAATATTTGGCTGTGAGCTCAATTGCAGTGCTACATAGCCGAATATAAATTTTATTGTTTCTTGTAAAATAGACTTTTGGAAGGCCAGCCATGGAAATCACCATACGATTTTATCAATTTCTGTTATACTCCTGACGGAAAAGCCACTCGATGCGACTGAAGCAGTCTGGCTTGAGGCATACTATGTTGCGGCAAAGCATTTACATATACAACTTTACTGAAGTATGTTATCTGAATTAAACGCTAATCATAAGATTGATTTTATAAAGCAAAAGATGAATAGGGTTTCTTCGCTTAGATCATGCTTGGAAAATCATAGGACTTGATATTTCAGAATAAGCCTTACAAAACCAAAAAGGGAAGAATCTAACGTCAAAGAGACTAGATATAATTCACAAAAGGCTTAAGCAAATGACAGTAGTCTATCACGTGTTGTAGCTTTTTTTGCGTTTATCATATGAACTTAGCCTTAAGCTATATGACGCTTATTTTTATGCAATTTTTAAATTGGAGACAAACCATGTCAAAAACGTTTTACAGGCTTGATACTAGGGGCAATTTTAGCAGATACAAAGAAAAAAGTTTATTAGGTTAATCAACGCAAAACTGAAAAAAATATTACATGATGAAAATTTAATAAAATAAGAGCACCAATCAAAGTGTATAAGTCAGTTACATTCTAAATCTTTAGATGAAATACGAGATATTTTTTCATAGATTACTTTCGTTTAAGAGTTTAGCTGACAGTTTTGACTGAAAATATTGAATGATAAATTTTCTGTCTAAAGTATACATATGGTATATCAACTGACTTACTAAAAAGAGGAGATTACTTAAAACAGTCAAAAGAGATGCTAAAAAAATTTGAAGCAGAATTATCAACATGTATTCAAAAATATTTAGAGTTAGCTATGAAAGACTTACCCAGTGATTCTACCGATAAAGTTAACATACAAAAACACTTGGTAGTCGATGGAGACAAGAGTTGTAGCGTAATGGTAAAGTAAGGATACACTAGTACATACAGTAGTAAAATGCGAGATAAGGGAAAACTCGTAGCTGTTTCGAAGCTACTGAAAATATACAATTGCCTCCTATGTTGTGTCAGTTTATCTAAACAGAAGCTGAGTACAATTAACACGTCACAGAGACCACAGTAGGAACAAGTAGACAGCTGCCATAACCGGCTCATCTCCACAGAGCATTATATTTAACTCGAAGATCAGTCACTTAATAAGTCTGTTACATGCGAGCTGTTTCTTACCTTTATAGTCTCCGTTTATTAGTCTTATTTCAGAACGGAGTAAACTCTTAAACAATCTACTAACCCTTTTATAGGCTAATAGATATCTCTTCTAAGCTACACAAATCAACTAAGGTTAGGCGAATTTCTCTTTATCAGTACCGGTATTCCATTCATTAGAAGCACCTCAGTTTACATGGATTCCAAAACAGACATCCACATCACTCTCAATGGTTAGACTGATCGCTACCGTAGACCGATTCCAAAGCAAATTAGGGGTAAAGAAACAGAAAGGACAACTCTCACATCGTCATTCAAAGCATTAAAAAACTCTATCTTTTAAAGTCTTTATCAAATATGACGATGTCATAGGTATACTCTACATAAACGGTTGATACCCGTATGCTCCACTGACGAAATTCCAGTCTGTAAATGCTAGACCATCTATCTGATAAAGTGAATATTCCTAACATCGATATTCTCTGAGAATTAACATCACAGAAGTGCTCAGAAGCTTAAGAGCTTAAACTTCTTCAGAAATCCGAAAAGATTCAAACATTGGATGAATTTAGGGTAATGAATCTGAAAATCATTCATATACCTTCTTATTTCCAGTTAGCATTTGGTGATTACTGCTATTTAAAATTAAACAATCCATCGACCAATAAGAAAAATACGTCAGTAATATATCATCCGATTATCAACTTCCTACTATTGATACAGTATGGAACATAAATGCACCATACAAGCAATTACCTCCTTCAAAACAAACAGCAAATGAGGACTTGGTTGAAATATTTATTAAAAAACAATCAATCTCTTTTATAGATTTTGATAGAACAGTGAAATTTATATCTTTATTGATTAAATGCCTAAATGTTTGTATAAATATATATATTCAAAAAAACGAAACATTTTTATGCAAGCGTTAGCATATGTTTTAAAGCTGAAGTAATTGTGGAAATAAAAGATGGCTAAAATAAAAATGCTGCAAATATTTACAATAATAATAATAATAATAATGGATGTGATCATCATAATTGGTATTGTTCACAAAAACTAATAATAAGAACGATTGATCTGACTCATCGCTTTTTTTTAATCTTTTCTGTACAAAATAAGGCAGATAGAAGTAAAAAAAGATGTCTCCATGCACAAGCATCATATATATCATATTCATAATTAATCCTTTGAATGATATGAATCGAGGCGTATTAAAGATAAAACTTGGGAAACTGCAATCCATTGTTTCCAAACATCATCTTTATGTACATAACGCAGTATTGATCATCGTGTTAAACCGATTGCGGAGGCTAATGAGATCAGGATCAAAATGGCGAGAACAACACCCAATGTAATGCAGATTATTTTGCACTAAGTAATTGGTTGATTGGCATTTAATAAACCATGTACATTGTAGTGTGATACGGAGAATAATATATTGAAGGAAAATAACAACAACAACAACACCAACATTAACAAAGGCACAGTAAGAACGAACAACAATGAGAAATAATTTAGACAACATATATTACATTTGCAATACAGAAGCAACTTAGCATTATAAGTATTTGTGTTTTACAGAGGTTGCTTTTATAATCTATGGTTTATTTTATTGTCTGTCCAAAAACTGATCCCATAAACAAAGGAGAGACCATGAGTGACAAAAATCTTTTTAGATTTTAAATAAACGACCAAACTATTAAACGTATATACAGTGTCTTGGATTTACTGCATTCCTGTGATTTAAGTGAACGAGATCAGTCAGTTACATGCAACCTGGCACATATGCATTGGTTCAAGGTGTAACATAAAATGGTCCAACAAGATGAGTAGGAGTGGTAACAGTGTCAGGTAATACAAGAAACGATAGGGCACCATGATTACCTAGTGCCTTACGAATGACGAGCATTCCTTACCCAGTGGTTGCAACAAACACAAGTAATGATTCAAAGACAAATGTTTCAAAACTGGCAATCTACGAAAACATCCGTTTTTAATGACTATATTTCACGGCAATAAAGTACGACAAAACACACTTCTGTTGAGTAAACTTGCGTTTGAGTTGGTAGACAGAAAACTTGTGTACACAAGTTGGGAAAAAGCCAAACGAAATTTTTGAGTTTGTGTCGAAAGTTTATCAGACACCAACTCTCCATGGCTAACGAGACTTATAAGACAAGTGAAGTAATCAGCATACTAAACTACTTTACTCGATTACTAGTCCTGGCAATGACGCAGAAAACCCTACAGTAGTATTTAATTTAATTAAATAACCTTGTATCATTGCTTAAGGTCAGATTACTATGTCGTTTGCGTACTCTAAGTTAACAAGTGAATATCGTGGTAGGAAATCAACCCTCAAAAAATCACGTCATAAGGGTGCTAACTCCAAAAAGATGTCTATGAAGAACTAAAATTAAAAAAAAAGAAAAAAAATTACCCAGAGTTGCTTTTCTACTTGGCTTCCGATTAACTACGGTCTTTCAACCCTGCCAAGAACTAGGGAATTCGTGTTAGCTTCCGATTCAAGGTGATTGAAAGGTGATTAGTAACAAGTTGATCGAATAGTGAATAATGGCTTCATTTTTTCCTCAATCGTCACACTAATATAATGACGTATAATACTTGTTTCGTTGATGAGTTGGAATGAAAAAAGTGATATAATTTTAGCATTCCAATAAGTAGACTTCAAGTCCATCTACACGTAAGTTCCCTTCACTAAATAACGAAACGGGGTTTTCAAGCATCTGTAAACTTGGCAGGCTACACGAAAGTCATTTGATATGATAGAACCTTTTGGTTTAAGTCAATGGTATTTATCAGTTATTTTTTGACAGCTGTTTTGAAGTCATTAAATGTATATTAGACTGAACATTTCCTTCCCGACCGTAGCTGCTACCTTGACGTGGTGGTCGAGCTTGTCTATCGTGATGATCCAAACGAGCTATACTGGCTGGAACTTATGTTCCTGAAGGTTCTACCATGCCAGGCAGGTCGATTGGAGAACGATGAGACTAAGAGCAGCTACTCAAGGTCTGAGGGCGAAGTCGTACTGATGACTGCAGAGGGGTGTGACAGCAGCAAGGTGTTTCCCTGGGAGCAGCATCAGGGCTACCGGATACACGAAGAGTAAATCGGGATGCTTCTTTATTTTGATAAGGTGACATCAGATTAATGATTTTACTAGGATCCTGTATGCGCGTTTCCGAGACGCAGAACACATCGATTGAACGAGATTCTATTGTCCTAGCTAATGATGCCTGTTGCCCTATTTGACACAATGTCCGGATATTAAATGCTCCAACATGTAGTTTAAAACGGGGTTTAAGGAGACCAGGAACGACGTTTCGTGAACTCGCATCGTTTGCATTAGCGGTGAAGTGAGCTCAAGGAATGCGACTAGAGTTAGTCGTAGAGATAAAAGAGATAGTTGAGGGTGTAAGAAGGATTTGACTTTGACCAATTTGGTCTCGTTTGATGTTACAGGTATGAGGGCGGTTGTCACTATCTGACTGCCCACACCGTGGAAGGTTGTTTCTTGAGAGATCTGAAAAGGAGGGTAGATTACTCTTCGTGTATCCGGTATCCCTGATGCTGCTTCCCGGGGTCTCGCTGGTGTAGGTATAGTATTGAGTCGTAGGGCAGAACTATCTCTCCTTGACTGGATCCCTGTAGATAGTCGTTTGTACTCTGTCCTTCTGAACGGGAGAGTAAGGCCTCGGAACGATAGTGAGACTTGCCATTGCCTCTTCGTCATATCCGCCTACGCTCCCACTGACTGCAGTTCAGACGAGGTGAAAAATGAGTTTTATAGAAAGCTTTCGGTCCTCCTCCAAAATGCTAGGTGCTCCGATATAGTAATAATGGCTGGTGACTTTAATGCTCAAGTAGGTAGACTAAGTGAAAAGGAGAGACACCTAGGTAGATGTTATGGTGTCGTGGCTCCGAGAACAGACAATCGCGACCGTCTGTTGCAACTATGCTCAGATAACCGCCTATTTCTAGCGAACACTAACTTTAGACATAAGGAAAAGCATCTGTTGACCTGGCGACCCCCAAAGTCGTCTCAACGTTGGACCCAACTAGATCACATCGCCATCAGCCACCGATAGAGAGGCTCGATAGAGGACTGTCACTCGTTCTGGGGCACATGCTTAGATTCAGATCATGCCCTAGAGCGAGCGCGTATTTGTTTGAGGCTTACTGGACGTAGGAAAGACACTGCAAGAGAACCTCTTAGGGTTCTACTTAATGATAATGAAGCTAATAATATATTCCAGGAACAACTAGAAAGAGAGTTAGGCAACCGTGTGATTCCCATCCAGAGACAGGTTGGAATGATATCAAAAAGGCTGTGGAAACAGCAGTGATATCTGATGGTAAGGTAAACCATAAGCCTAGAATGAAGCTGTGGATCTCAGTAGCATCCACCGAACTGATAGAGGCTCGAAAACTCATCACACCTGGCTCTGAACATGATGAAGAACGAAGTCAACTTAGGCGCAGACCTATAAAAAGCCTACGTAACGACCGCGAACAGTGGTGGGTGGCGAAAGCAAAAGCGATGGAAAAGGCAGCGGCGATCGGCAACAACAGACAGTTGTTCAAACGATCAAGGAAACCAGTACTATAAAGTCATCTGTCGGCGAAACCATCTCAGAAGACGGCTGTATTATTCATTCTCAACTCAGGAGATTGGATAGATGGACAGAGCACTAAAGGGATCAGTTCAAATGGCCTTCAGCCACATTCCGGTTACCCACGATCTCCAGGCAACCTGAATGACAACTGGATTAAGTCCTCCAACTTGCGTTGGTGAAATATCCTCTTGGTAACCAGCGGACGTTTCTGTTGTGCAGCAGTTCGCTCCGTCCTACTTTATGGCTGCGAAACATGGCAAGTAAGAGTCAAGTATATTCGTAGGTTATTAGTAATCGATCAAAGATGTCTTCGAAGCATTTCTCGAGTATCCAGGGACAACCGAGTAAGCAATGCTATAGTTAGAAAACGTGTACTAGGTAGGGATGGTAAATCAATAGATGAAGTAATGAAACTTCAACAGTTGCGATGGTTGGGACATGTGTGACGTATGCCCAACCACTGACTGCCTCGAAGAGTGATGTTTTGTGGTGTAGGAGTAAGTTGGAGGAAAGCTAGGTGTGGCCAAACCAAAACATGGTACAAATTCATGAAGTCACTGACAAGTCGACTGAGTCATGTTGGTACATGTAGACTATGTGGTTGGGGTCTGCGAGACGATAGTAACAGATGGTTAGAGACCTCAAAATCATTTGCAATGGCACAGGTGCATTCACTCTTTGTGATCTCCGAAATGCTAATCTTCTGAATTCCTCATCACCTCTATCTTTCTCTTTTTAAATTTATTTCACTGGATTATACTTCTTGAACAATATCTCCGAACCCTAATCTTCTACATTACTGAGAATACCTCTATTATGTCTACCACTATGGAATTCTAACTGACAATTGCGTCTTTGTGCTAATGTGGTACGTACGTACGAAGTTCTACGTTGACTGAACATCACTTCTCTAGTTAATCCTGAAATATACTCTCAATTATTTCATCGACCTGCTGTAGTAACTTTCCTGGGTCAAGATACAAACACGTACTCACAATGGAAAATGACCAGAGATCTAAACATGCGCTCCGAAGTGGGCGGTAATCTTTTATATAGCCTCTCCGACGATGGCAAGGTGATCTATTTTGAGTAGATGGATGAGTTGATTTTGGTGGTCTACATAGAAGAAGACGTTTCGCTTTATTCTTAAAGTTAATGGTGATATGAATAAAAAGTTGTGGCGAAAAACAATTGCCATTAGCTGCATGCTAAGCTGTATCACTGTAAACCCGCCTGAGTGAAATCAGTGAAATCGAAGGAAGAAATGAAGAGCAGTAAGAGCCATGTGCCTTTATTCTTTCCAGTTTTTACTGTTCAGTTTAATCAGACAGTGTATGAGCAACTTTAAGCCGAAATCCAATGAGTGTCTATTTAGCTTTTAGATTGGATGCTATATTTATGCCAGTGAGGAATAGCACTCAATACCCCAATCATCACATAAGCTTCCGATACTAACTAGGTGAGGCCAAGTGAATGGCCATGCATGCATGTATGTATGTCTTACAGACAGAATATAACGATAATATGACCCTACAGTCCTACCTAAGGAAACCTGTTGTCTGATTTGATATAAGGTCCAAACATTTAGATCCTTGAATATACATCATGAAGTTGATTAAATTCAGTTAGACTTTAGACCGATAGAATTTTAACATTGCCAGTAATTAACAAGGATACAGTATTTAAATAAAGCAATGTATATAACATTAAATAAAATGGAGAATGTACTTGACCAGTTATAGACACCGGGAATTGAAAATAAATTACAATTTGATTTCCTATTTTCATTATTCATCTACATGTCATGAAATATTAATATCCTAAGATGTTCCTGAGTCACACTTTAGGTGTGAAGACTAATGATACTAACTGGTAGCCCAAACTGGAACGGGTGTCAAGAAATGTGAAACTGCTATTTTGTGATTAAAATTGAAACGACTAGATTAAGAGCATTCTGCTTAGTACTTATTGCTTTGTTGTTATAGTTAAAAATAAAATCACACTAACATTAAACGAATTTCTGAACAAAGATAATTAAAGATGATCTTTTCATTTGCGGAGAGCGATTGAAAATCAGCCGGACAGCATTTTCGTTTGACTTCTACACTAATAATTAGTGCATACCAATAGGAATCAAACAAAGGATTTCAGGCTTAGGGAATAGTATACTGCCCTTAGATTATATCACGGAGTAAAAATTCAGAGATCCATATTTCTAAATCTATTTGTTGTTTCACTCACAAAAAACCATGAAATAAAATTAATCGAACAATGGATCAGAATCGTGAAAAAAGATGTTTTACCTCTCAGGACGTATTGTAACCTTAGATCAGTGAATAGGTAAGATTATCTCTATACTAGGCTTTCATTTACTCACTTCATATATGAAAGAGTTCAGGTGAGAAAAAGAATAGTACAGAATCTGACACATAGTCGACTAAAAACCTAGTTTAGCAAAATCAACCACAATTCCACTAGGAAAAAAAAATGAAAGTTTCCACTTACACGACGATTCTTCCTATTTCTATTTATAGCTGATGAAAGTGTACGCTTTGTATTTACAACACAGTCAGATGCCTTGTTCAAACTGTATTCAACCTGGTCGATCAAATCCCCCTATTATGAAAAATAAGAAATAATAGAAATAATTGTCTCGAAGATAAACCAGATCAAAATTTAGAACGGTCATATTTTACAGTAAAACATGAAACTGATAATATCAAAATACACAGAAGCATAACTTTAATGCAAACATACTAGCAGGTAAGTGTACGAGGTTTAGAAGAGTAGACACCATAAAGAAGAAAGTGCAACTCAAATCATTTGACTCAATATGGAAAAATCGGGAGATTAAGCAACTTGATAAGATTATGAACATACAGCAACTGAAAGGTTTGTTTTTTTATGAATCCTAAGTGGAAAGCCAATAAGATGTGTAATTCTAAGGAAGATTGCGAAATGATGGTGATTAGATCCATAAACGAAATCCATCAGTGAATGTGAATTTTAGCCATATATAAGCGTTTAGTTTCCTCGAAAATCTAGCAAAAGAGAGAAATTTTAGTTGGTAGTTCCGACAGTTATACAGAGGTGTGGACGAATCTAGAACAATGAACGTCTCATTACATAATATTAAATTTAACCTTTTAAAAAAATATTAGCCCAGTTTTACACCACTACAAAAATGTTTATTGTTAGCACTTTGACTAAGTATTTACAAAATATCGTAATCCAAACTTACTGATTCAAATCCTGGTATATTAGTAAGTAGTTAGAGAAAGAGAAGAACACTATTCTATATTTATTTGTTAGATTTTGAACCATATTTACTTAGTGGACTGCTGGATGGTGCCTTAAAATACTTATTCTTCAAAATAGGACAATACATCCTAAAAGGTAATATTGAATTCAAACATGTAAAACTTCTGATAGAACGTGTATGGATATAGAAGAGTAAATTACCTGTTGGTCAACTAGAAGAGCAACATTGAGGAATAGTTCTCTCATTTCCTGGATACTTTTTTCCAGCCGTATAATATCTGCATGACGAGCTTCTATATCTGATAATGATCGCTTTGCAGCTTCGGTTTCAGCCATTATCTAGATTGAGAAAACTGTCTATGAAGTATCATCTTAATAAAACTTATAAATACGTTTCAAATAAACAAGGTAAGGATTATGTAATTATGATGACACAAAATAAACTATGTTTGTAATAAAACTTTTTACAGTACTTATCATGCACCTGGATATCATATTGCTGAATGGAGTAATTTCATGCAATTTTTGCCATTTTTGAATTTGAATAGAGCGAAAACAACAAACGAAGTAGAGAAAAATATGAATTCAGTTGTTGAGTGGTTTCTCTCCGACTGTTTACAATCTAAAAAATATGGTGTCAATATCATAACTATGAGGATAAGTAAAGTGACAGCAACAAATATGAAGTAAATGTGCACGATTTAGCGGTTGAATAGTTATATGGTAACTAGTGTCGAAATTCTAGAAAAAAATTCCTAGCATACATGTAGACAATGTTCTACATAAAGAGAATGAACGTCAAAAGTTACGCAATAACAACCATGAAATTGAGTAGAGTAATATGGCAAAGTAAAGCCCAATAAGTGACTCAAGAATAAAGAAACGAAAGTTAAAATTGAGAACATAAAGTAAGTTAATACGCCACAGAGTATTGATATTTAAAACTGTATTACTTTGAATAAATAGGTTATCTTGACCGTCTTTACAAATTCGAAGCAGATTGAGAAATGCTTATTTTGTAAAATTTTGAAATATTAAGATTTCCGTCAGGTGATGGGCCCTTTCTCGATCGGAAAAACGTTAACTTCTTATGGAATGTGCTTCGAGATGAAAAGAAGGACTATCCTTCCTGTTCGTCTAGTGTAAGTGCCTGGTCATCTGGTAGATACAGTAAGGTAACATAAGATGGGAACTTAACACTTTTATCTACCCAATGAGCAATGTGTGATTCAACTAGATATACCGCCTTTACAACGAAAAATTTACTTTATGATTAATCATACTAACCATTTCATCATTATGGAAGCTGATATTTAGAAAGACTAGGTTTTTCGACCGAAGTGCATTCTATGCTCTTGGATCGTGTTTTTTCATACAGATGATGTTATCCTACGGACAATTTGGAACTATAGCTAATTCCTTTCCAACTTTAAAAATAGTTTCAGTACATGATTAAAGTTTTTTCTAACCATAGCTCTTTTACAGCCCACTCTGATGGGCTGTTTGTGTTAAAATGACTACTCAGTATCAGGTTTATGCTCCATTATAAACTGCATATTGAGATGCGCTCTATTGAGAAGAATGAATGTATGAGATATATATCTATGATTATTGCAAATGTCATCAACACACTCGACATGCAGCTGTCTCACAGATTAATGGCTTCACTTCTATTTTTTAAAATATATTTGTTTGATTATATCCACATCACAAACTTTATCAGGTTGAAGGATGACAATACTTTTATTTTGAATTAAGGAAAAATGTTAGGATGTTGTTCATCAAAACCATAGACCAATTCCCCATTCAAATATTCTAAAACCGATTCTTTGTTATTCCACGACAATAGGTATGAGATAATACGAGTTTATGCTATGAGCAATTTTAGGGTCAGCAAAACAACCAATTAGTAATTCATGTGTACGGTACTGAACTCAAGTGAAATTACAGCCGATCAGTTGAGAATAAAACATTATCGAGATTCGAGAAAAATTTCCATAGCTTCTGTATCGTCCACAAACCACATAATGTTGCATTCATATTACTTATTGTTATTTATTAAAGCATAAACATTATTATAAAGGTGCAACAAAATATTTATGCAGCCAAAAAATTAATGAATTTGTTTGTGATGTGGGATACTTCCTAGGTGTCTAAGCCGAAGCAGGTGATTTTCAGTGGGGGTTACTCCTAAAACCTTTGAACTATAGATCTATTCCACAAGGCGATAGGACATCGTTAGATGGCAACCAGTGACTATGAATTGTATTTTCAAGCCTATGCGCACCATCAGTTTGGAATCAGGCTTCTCTGTATCCACCATTCCAGTTGGGGAGTCAGACATTTGCTTTTCATCCTGCGTTTTGTAAACAACACCCACGCCACTAGAAGGCAGTAAGTAAAACCTCCTTGGCAGCGGCTATATATATATACATTCAGATCTATTCAAAATATTTTATTAAAATTCATTCCTAGAATTTCGGCATCCAAAATGATGGAGAAGTTTATTTATTTAATTCACAAAAATTGAGTCACTTACAGCCTGTGTAAAAATACCAGTATGGTTTTGTTCTAGCATCTTTTCAACTTCATCTTCTGAAAATGACACTTCAGCTGAAAAAATAATTAAGCCATTTTGGAAGATAAAAGAACAATTTACCAATATGAAGCTTAGTTCGAATTCGGGCTTTACACTTGTCACGATAATCTACTTGTAACTGATTATATTTGTTCATAATGAGGAAGAATTGTCGAGAAATAGCAGCATACTAAAGTAAAAGCATAAGATATCCAAAAACTAAAACCTGAGACGACTTTAGACGACATTTACCAGACAATCCGGATAGAAGTCTATCATCATTCTGCTGCTCTAATTCTACAATTGTAGACGATCCCAGTGAAGAAATCAAAACTTACCTTTCAGAGAACGCTGAATTTTATAAACCCTTTTTTGGATAGAATTGGTAAGTTCATTAACCTGACTATCTAGTTCTGAAACCATAAAAGGATAAACAAAAATACTTTGATCCTGTTGAGGTGTGGCCAGTATGTCCCTTTGTAGCCTGTCAATTGCATCAATATCTTGCTGTAAATTTTCAATATCAGAATGAAGTTCATTGACCTGGTAATAATTGGAAAAACTAACACATTTACTTGATCAAAAACAGCAATATCCAGTTCAGAAAAGTCAAAGTCTACATTTTTCCTGTTGATTTTATCATTTCTGACCTTAATACGCTAATATTTAAAGAAGCAATAAAACAATTTTAATAGAACTACAGCCTCAAGTTCAGGTAGTCGGTCTTTAACCATTCAAAAGTACAACAGAGGAAAACCGAAATACGTCTATCACCAAATAACTACCAACAACAAACCGATACGTGATTAGCTGCTGGCGCTTGTCAAACTCTTTACAATCTGAAAAGGAAAGACAAATAAACAAAACTGAAAAATTGAGTCCGCAACCAAAAATATCAAGAAATAAATTTAAGATAATACACTTGTATTTTAGAGTTGTCACACCACATTGACAAAAGAAGATGAAATTCTCAGTTCAAAACATAGTGTAGTAGAACTTGTAGCCCTATTAGTGCCAATAGAAAAGATTAGGGATCAAAGATATGATTCGAGGAAATATAACCCAATGAAATAAATTTGAAAAGAGAAAAAAGTCATGGTGAATTCAGAATAGATAAATCTGTGCCATTGCAAACGATTTTCAGCAATGTCGTTCAAAGTCTCTAACCATCAGGTAATATAATCATGCGGATCCCAACCAGGTAATCTACACTTACTGACATGGCTCAGTCCAATAGTCAATTTCTCCATAGAATAATGCCATGTTTTCGTTTGGCCGCCCTTTGTATCTCTCAGCCCACTACACCAGACAGCATTGCTCCTAGAGTTATGCGACGGCTGCGACACGTACCAACATGACTCAGTCGACTCGTCAGTGACTTCATTGATTTGTGCCATGTTGTGGTCTGGCCGCCCCTAGCTTTCTTCCAACCTATTCCTACACTACAAAACATAGCTCGACGAGGCAGTCGGTGGTTAGGCATATGTAACACATGTCCCAACCACCTCAATTGATGAAGTTTCATTACTTCATCTCATGACCTACCATCCTTACTTAGCACCCGTTTCCTAACAGCAGCATTGCTTACTCGGTGTTCCCAGGATACACAAGCAATGTTTCGGAGGCACCTATGATCGAAAACCAGTAACCTACGAATATCTTCTACTCTCAATGGCCATGTTTCAAAGCCATAGAGTAAGACGGAGCGAACTACTGCACAGTACACTCGTGCTTCGGTCAGAAAACGGATATCTCGCCTGCGCCATAAGTGACGCAGGTTGGCAAAATCCAATCGAACCTTCTGTATCCGAGCTGAGATTTCGTCAGTCACCAGGCCATCTGCACTTTGTCAGCGTCTTCACCAAGTAGGACTATGTCATCGGCATATTCTAAGTCAATAAGCGAGCCACCTGGTTTAAAGGTCAGACAAGGATAAGGTTATATCTAGGAGCATGTCTATGATAAAACTAAACAGGAATGGAGAAAGTGGACATCCCTGACGGACACCACTTGAAGTGAAGAATTCCGGTGACAGTTCGCCATAAGCTCTCACTCGACCAGTAGTGTCCGAGTAGAGCTTGTATACGACAGACACTGCCACAGAGCCTCACGATCCACTGAGTCAAATGCCGCCTTAAGGTCAAAGAAAACAACTATTGTCGGACGCTTAAGTGTGTGTGTTCCAGGACCTGTCGTAGTGTGAAAATGTGGTCTATAAAACCACGTCCAGGTTGAAAACCAGATCGGTTTTCTCTAGTCTGATATTCTCGAGCTCTCGTTAAGCGTCTAAGTATTATTGAGGCCAATATTTTAAATACTATATTAGTTGGACTTATTCCCCTGTGATTTTCACAGGAAGACTTGTGTCCTTTTTTATAGTTTGGGACTCAGTGATTGAGACCAGTCGGATGGGATTACGTCCAGTTCCCAGATTCTACCTAAGATCTCAGTCAACCTAGCTGCTAAAACTGGACCATCATCCCTAAATATCTCAGGGGTCAGTCTATCAGGACCCGCAGCACGCAATCGCTTCAGACTTCCCAACGCTCTCTCAAATTCGTAAAGACTAGGGGGACTTACGTCGATTTGCCAGTCAGGATGACTGGAGATCGTGGATTACGAAGAGTGGCTCGAGGCCAGTTGAACTGATCCCTGAAGTGTTCTGCCCATCGATCCAGTCTCCTGGATTGATAATGGATAATAAGACTACCCTTTTCCGAAATAGTCTCACTCACCTTTGGGTTCCTAATACCAGTTTCCTTGATAAGTCAGTACAACTGTCTGTTGTTGCCGATCGCCGCTGCCTTTTCCATCGCTTTTGCTTTCGCCACCCACCACTGTTCGCGGTCGTTACGTAGGCTTTTTATAGGTCTGCGCCTAAGTTGACTTCGTTCTTCATCATGTTCAGAGCCAGGTGTGATGAGTTTTCGAGCCTCTATCAGTTCGGTGGATGCTACTGAGATCCACAGCTTCATTCTAGGCTTATGGTTTACCTTACCATCAGATATCACTGCTGTTTCCACAGCCTTTTTGATATCATTCCAACCTGTCTCTGGATGGGAATCACACGGTTGCCTAACTCTCTTTCTAGTTGTTCCTGGAATATATTATTAGCTTCATTATCATTAAGTAGAACCCTAAGAGGTTCTCTTGCAGTGTCTTTCCTACGTCCAGTAAGCCTCAAACAAATACGCGCTCGCTCTAGGGCATGATCTGAATCTAAGCATGTGCCCCAGAACGAGTGACAGTCCTCTATCGAGCCTCTCCATCGGTGGCTGATGGCGATGTGATCTAGTTGGGTCCAACGTTGAGACGACTTTGGGGGTCGCCAGGTCAACAGATGCTTTTCCTTATGTCTAAAGTTAGTGTTCGCTAGAAATAGGCGGTTATCTGAGCATAGTTGCAACAGACGGTCGCGATTGTCTGTTCTCGGAGCCACGACACCATAACATCCACCTAGGTGTCTCTCCTGCTCACTTAGTTTACCTACTTGAGCATTAAAGTCACCAGCCATTATTACTATATCAGAGCGCCTAACTTTTTGGAGGAGGTCCGAAAGCTTCCTGTAGTACTTGTCTTTCACCTCGTCTGAACTGCAGTCAATGTGAGCGTAGGCATATATGACGAAGAGGCAACGACGGGTGTCCCTATCTTTCCGAATCCTTACCGTCCTGTTCAGTCGGACAGTGTACAAACGACTATCTACAGGGATCCAGTCAAGGAGAGATAGTTCTGCCCTACGACTCAATACTATACCTACACCAGCGAGACCCCGGGAAGCAGCATCAGGGATACCGGATACACGAAGAGTAAATCGGGATGCTTCTTTATTTTGATAAGGTGACATCAGATTAATGATTTTACTAGGATCCTGTATGTGCGTTTCCGAGATGTAGAACACATCGATTGAGCGAGATTCTACTGTTCTAGCTAATGATGCCTGTTACTATATTTGACACAATGTCCGTAAATTAAATGCTCCAATATATAGTTTAGAACGGGGTTTAAGGAGACCAGGAACGACGTTTCGCGACCTCACATCGTTTGCATTAGCTGTGTACTGTGATAAATGAATGTGAGAAGAGTTGGTCGTGGAGATAAGAGCGATGTTAATGGGTGTAGGAAGAATTTGATTGTGACCAATTCGGTCTTGTGTGCTGTTACGGGTATGAGGGCGGTTGTCACTTTCCGGCTGCCCACACCGTGGAAGGGTGCTTTTTGAGGGACCTGAAAAGGAAGGTAGATTAGTTGGTCTTAGAGACCTGGGTGTGTGACCGCATAGCCCAAGGGACAACTGCTTGAGGTCGGTCACGCACGGCCTTTTTATGAAGGGCTTTTTTAGTATTAGCTCTGCTCTTGAAAGCCCTTAGTGGGCACCCTTACCGCCGGAGACGGAAGTCCGTGAGGTAGGGTGAGGTGTGACATTCTTAGGGTCGACCTTTCCTAACCCCTTCTTTCCTTGTGAGAAGGCAGCATCGCTGCAGATGCTGGTTGTCCGAGGGAAACACCTTACTGCTGTCATACCCCTCTACAGTCAGCAGTACGACTTCTCCCATAGACCTTGAGTAGTTGCTTTTAGTCCCATCGTTACCCGATCGACCTGCCTGTCATGGTAGAATCTTAAGGAACATATGTTCCAGCCAATATAGCTCGGTTGGGTCATCACGATAGGCAAGCCCGAACACCACGTCAAGGTAGCAGCTACGGTCGGGCATAGCTCAGACGAGCTATGCATTACTCTGTGGTTGACCAATCAATCAATCAGCCCTCATCAACACTTGAAACATACTAGTTAGAAAAAGGATTAGAAGTTTTGCAATGTATTACATTAGTACCGAAAATTTCTGGGGACAATTTTCTGATGTACAATAACAGCATAAGACACATTCTACTCAGTGATTCAATTTCTTGGTCGTCATCTAGTCCTTTCATTCTTAAGAGCTAACGCAAATGATACCAGCGTGATGGCAAAATAATCTGACATCCCAAAAAAGACTACAAGCTTGCGTACGTAGAAAATAGTGTTGGGTGATTTTTTGAAACAGAACTTACTCAAATCGAAAGGTGAGTTTTAAGTAACGGACTAAGTTAAAGCATAATATACTAAGAGACTTGAGTTAATACATCAGAAGATAACGCCCCATATATTCTGCACAAAATTCAAAGTGCAGTAATAGATAAACTATATGTGGTGACAAGCAATAATTCAGCATTTACAGGTTGGTTGTCCGGAGCAAAGCTATTATCCCATTGTCACTTTAATGACTTGTGCTGCTAATGGTTTTAGGAGTAGATGACGTTTACTGGCTGCTCTTTGGGTCACGCGAAGTTGTCAGTATATCATACTTTTGTGACATTTTAAATGGATAATGTTTCTTCTCTATAATCTTATTATGAAACTAAATTACATAACCCTTTTTGATCAACGTTGGAATAAGCCGTCTTTCCATTTCGGCGAAACAAATAATTAGTGAAAAAATATCTGACTTTATTATAAGACAGAATTGACAAGTATGGATTGTTCGGATATCATTGCTGATTGATATATCTGGACAACATAAGGATTAGCGCGAATTATTTTCCATTGCAGGAGTGAACGTTTCAGGGAAACCGGAATGCCAAAGCCCAAAAGTGTGATTTAGGTGATACGACAAGTGATATCAAGTAAACTAGCCTGAATTTTGAGATAGTAGATTCTATTATCGTCGAATACATGACCGTCAACCATAAAAAACCAAAATCTTCAAATAAAGGAGGATATGTAAAAGATAATAAGAAGGATATTTCAACCGAGGAAAATGAAAATATATCGAAAATTTGCTAAAATGTTTCCGATATTGTCTGCCGTTTTAATGTGACCACATTTACATTTCAACTTAACGAGCTGTTCTATGGTCATAATATCACAAGCTCATTGCATGCTTACTTTTAAAGATCCAAAGCACAAAATATCTCTCTTAGCCAAAATTTTGGCGCTATGGAATAACGGGTTATGAATACACCAAACGGCATCTAGAGGTAAACATTTATTTTGAATTAACCACAAGCAGGAACAACAGCAGTACTCTACAGGACGATTTTTTTTAGCTCTTCTGGAAATATATCATACACGATCATTGTCTTAATACACCATTTAGTCAATGTTTAATATTTGTTTTATAACGTCAAAATTGTAACGAAAATTCAAACAAATTATGTAGTTATCGAACGAAGCATGTCTGAAACTCAGTCACAATGTTTCCGAGTTGTTGAGGATAGCTTTGGAAGTATTGAAGTTCCTGTCGAACGTTACTATGGTGCACAAACTGCCAGATCTCTCGAGAATTTCAATATCTGCACAAGAAAGGATACAATGCCTGTAAATCGCTTGTGTCTATCTTATTAACGTAGTTGCAAATAATCCATTCACTAGCTATGATCAAGGAAGTCGCTGCTTCTACGAATTTCAAGCTCGGGAGACTAAGCTCTGTAATATCAGACGCCATAATAACGGCTTGTCGCGAAGTATACTATGGAAAACTCGATGATGAGTTCCCTCTTGTTATTTGGCAGACTGGTTCCGGTACTCAGACTAACATGAACGTTAATGAAGTTCTCTCGAGTAGGGCTAGTGAGCTGATTGGAGGTTCCCGCGACACGAAACTGACTGTTCACCCAAACGATCACGTCAATCTTGGACAGGTTTATTCATCTTTATCATATACCATATTCATTAGAGTTCTAATGATATTTTTCCTACTGCTATGAACCTTAGCATTGCAATCGAAACTGCTTGGAGGGTTTTGCCTTCTTTAAGTCATCTCATAAACGCACTCGAATGTAAGATGCATGAATTCATGAACGTTATCAAAATTGGAAGGACCCATATGCAAGTAATTCCCATATAATTTAATTTAATTAATCAAGGATGCCGTCCCAATGAGCGTCGGGCAGGAATTGAGTGGATACGTCGGCCAACTTCAGCAGGCAGTTGATTCAATTAAATCACAACTGCCATCGGTTTGCTGCTTAGCTGTTGGTGGAACTGCCGTTGGAACTGGACTAAATTGTAATAAAGGTTTCGATGAAGATATCTGCCTAGGGCTAACACAATTGACTGATCGTTTCTACAAAACCGTAAGTGTAATTTAGTGGATTTTCGAGATGGCTTTTCTGTACTTCATAACGATCACTAAAAGTAAATGTACTGATTGCAGTTAATAACTGATACTTGAATTCGTTTTCGCAGATGTTGAGAAATGTTTGATGGAGTTTCAAGAACCGACTAGTCTTGATTGTTGAATATTTGAACTCAGATAATCATTTTCCAAGCAGCTAAGGAAAGACACATGAACGTTTTCCTTTTGAATTTACGCTAACAATGTCTGAAAAATTTTCAACCACTAGTTTTAGTTTGTTGAATTTTAAAACACTTCAGGAAAAGCTTGTTTCTTGACTGCAGAGGTAAAACTGTTAAAAATAAAGACAGTAAGCAAAATTCAGTAAATGAAGACCTAGTCATTTTGGTGATACTAAAAGCTGCTTTGAATTTTCTAAACGTTTTCTATGCCACAGTCAAGAACAATTTTTCTTGAATGTTTGTTCCTTTAGATTTATCACTCAAGGCTTGAACGTGCTTCATTGTGGACAACAGCAAAATGAAACTTCTGACACTAGTAAAATTTACTTAAAAAATATAGAAGAAAATGTCTTAGCGTAGTCGACTGTTAAAAACAAGTGTATAAAGTTTTATATTACAAACAATACTTTCCTTGCTTTTGGGAAGCTATCTAGTGTTAATGTTTTGTTGTTTACTCGAAAATTCACGTAGATATCTAATTAAGATAAGACATTTTAGGAATTTAGGATTTGCGGAGTCCGAAAATAAGAACTGTTTTGTAATGCATATATATTATATATGATGATATATTCAAATCGCTTATAGTTTGAAAAGTTCGTTCAACACTTGATTGTTGTTAGTTATAAATTACTGATGGAAATAGTGTTATCTCACAAATTCCAGAAATATCACACCATTCTGCACAAAAAGCTTTGATATATATAATCTTTTAATTGTTTCCAATGTTTCGCTAAATATTGCGAGCTGTAGATAACGAAATAATAGTAAATATATAGGTACTTTGTTAAATTGCCTGAGGTGTTTAATGAGTGAACTCCGCTGTGTTGTCTAGCGTGTTAGTTCTTTAAGTAACTCATGACGAAATAGTATGCTCGGTTTTAAGTACGTTTCTTTGCTGAATACGTATGTTAATATTATTTTATGGCTTCATTTTCAACATGTTTCTACAAAAAATCATAATTTTACATTTTCATATACCCAAACATCAAAGTATTGTCTTTAAAACACTATCGTCTTTTGGTAGTCTTAAACATGTTTTTTTGCTCTTATAGGCTACTTAAAACATTTGAATAATTATATTCACCCAGCAGTTTGAATTTATCGAACTCAGGTCTTATTCAGTCAAATACAAACACAAGTTTCAAAGGGGTTGTTTAACTTACACTTTCGAAATTCTCTTGACAGATACACAAAGAATCTGCACCAATGACAGACCTCATATTTAAACCAGCCCGAAATAAGTTTGCAGCTCTTGCAGGACATGATGCCTTATTACAGTTAAGTGGTTGTTTTAATACCACCGCTACGGCTTTGATGCGCTTGTCCAATGATTTTTGTTTGCTCAGCTCTGGACCGAACTGTGGCCTCAGTGAATTTATCTTACCAGCAAACGAACCTGGATCAAGTATTATGCCAGGCAAGTTAAAAGCATTCGAATCTAAAACGTTCTTTTTAATTTGCTAACCAGCCCACCTAGTTTAACATTAGCAATTATATTAGTATATCAACTAGGATCGATACCTAAAAGGCATCATTCCAAGTATGTATTGCATTTACTGCTAATCTGTACAAGAAGACTTTACTATGCATCCGGCATTGAACCTAAGTACTAGCATCCGTTTCGTTGATATGCTTTGCCCCCATAGTTTTCTACAGTAGTGCACCATAAATGTCCTTAACTCTCTTTTATATTCAACGTTAACATTTAGCTTTCTAGTACACTAAAATATTAGACAATAAAATATTTCCGTAATACAGAATTTATTACGAAGTTTTCATTTTCTTTTGATTTATCTCTGTACCTTATATAAAAGGTAAAGTTAATCCAACTCAATGTGAATCTCTACGAATGGTTTGCCTGCAGATAATGGGTAATCACTTCACAGTTTCAATGGCAGCATCCCAGGGTCAACTGGAATTAAATGTTTATAAACCTTTAATAGCTGCAAATCTCTTACACACATGTGATCTGTTAACTGATTCAACACGTTGTTTTGCTGATAAATGTGTAAAAGGTCTACAGCTGAATCGAGAACGAATCCAGGAATACGTAACTAAGTCGTTAATGTTAGTCACAGTCCTAACGCCTCATATTGGTTATGATTCATCAGCTAAATTGGTTCACTATGCATCGAGATTCAAAAAAGGATTACGTGAAAGCGCAATCGAGTTAAATTTACTATGTGGGGAAAAGTTTGATGAAATTGTTAAACCACAGGAAATGGCGTTTCCTCATGGCAACAAATGAAAAATTTCTTTTATTATCGTTGATTGCTTGGATCATTAACAGTATAATCTTACTTGATAATACTTGATATACTTGATTATGATATATTGAAAATATGAAATAATTTAATCCACTAAAAATAGTTTTAGTAAGAATTTTCGTACAATTTCAAAGGGATAATTTCACTGTAGTTGGGCGTGTAGTGTCTGAAGAATGTAAAAATTCTATCTTCTTTTTCATTATACTTTTTCTGTCATCTACAGTATATACCTCATCTACCAAATATACCTTGTGCAAATGAATTTACGAGCTCGTCATTACGTTACTTACGCCTGTTACCCCCTAATGAAGCATAGGCCACCGACCATTGTTCTCTAACCTGCTCTGTCCTGGGCTTCCCTTTCCAGTTCTGTCCGATTTTTATTCATTCTTCTCATATCTTTCTCTACTCCTCACCGTAATGTGTTTCTTGGCCTTCCTCTTTTCCCTTTAGCTTGATGGTTCCAAGTGAGGGCTTGCCTTGTGACGCGGTTGGGTGCTTTCCGCAGTGTGTCCTATCTACTCCCACCGCTTCTTCCTGATTTTCCCTTCCGCAGGAATGTGGTTCGTCCTTTCCCACCGGTCCTCTTCTTTTGTATTTGTTGTTGCTCGTGCGATGAAAGAGCCAGATCATCTTTAAAGTCCAAATTGTCCAGCTGCATCCTGGTTGTCCGCTGTATCCCGTTCTTCCCTCCAGATGTTGACCTCTTCTTAATCCAGTCAATCACCAGCAGAAAGAGAAAGGATGAGAGTAAGCAACCTTGCCTGACAGCGGTCTTCACCTCAAAAGGGTCTATCAGCTGTCCTCCGTGCACAATTTTGCAGTTTAATCCATCATAAGAATTCCGTATGTTGTTGAATATCTTCTCAGGCACACCGTAGTGTCCAAGAAGCCTCAATAGTGTTGTCCTGTTCACGCTAGCAAATGCTTTCTCGTAGTCGATGAAGTTGATGTAGAGTGGTGAGTTCCATTCAATCGATTGTTCCACAGTGATCCGTAATGTTGAAATTTGGTCAGTACACGATCGATCCTTACGAAATCCGGCCTGTTGATCTCGAAGTTGGGCGTCTACGAAGTCCTTCATTCTGTTTAACAATACCCTGTTGAAAACTTTTCCTGGTATTGAGAGAAGAGTGATGCCTCTGTAGTTCTCACACTTGTTGAGATCGCCTTTTTTCCGTACCTTGATCAGGTGTCCTTATTTCAGTCCGTTGGTACTTCTTGTTGAAGAGGATTTGGAGAATCTTTGCAATTGCTACCAGGTCTGCTTTAATTACCTCAGCTGGAATGTTGTTTGGTCATGCTGCTTTGCCGCTCGTCATTTGTCTGATGGCCACACGGTTCTCTTCAAGTGTTGGTAGGCCAACATCGATTGGAAGACCCGCAAATCCTGCCTCGATGTTGAGTGTGTTCATTGGGGCTGGTCGATCAGGAGTTGCTTAAAGTGTTCCATTCACCTGTTCCTCTGATCTTCAACGTTTCTGATTACTTTGCCTTCCTTGCTTTTCACTGGTCGTTCTGGTTTACGATCGTTTCCAGCGAGCTTCTTTGTTGTATCGTAGAATTGCCCCATGTTCCCTTCTCTTGCAGCCTTTCACGCCGTCACTTCTGGATCATCCACCTATTTCTGTTTGTCGGCTCTGATGCTCCTCTTCACTTGTTTGTTTGCTTCTGTGTATTCAGCTTGTGTCTTGACTCTCTGCTCTTTTTCGGCTAGTTTTGATTGATTGATTTCTTGAATTTTTTCAACAGTACCGACAGAGATCCATTCCTTGTGATGGTGCTTCTTGTGGCCCAGAATCTCCTAACATGTTGACCCCTTGATCCCTGTCCAACTGTGACAGATTGTCCGTGACAGATTCCTCTTCATTAAGTAGATCGTGAGAGGCTTCGTACCTGTTGCTGAGGTCTATCTTAAATTCGTTGAGATTTCCGGTATCCCGTGGAAAAGCCGTATTAAACTTTCGTGATGTGGTCCACCCCGTTTTCCAGTGATTCTTGAGTTTCAGTTTTGTTTAGGCAAACAGCAAGTTGCAATCTGAGGCTGTGTCAGCTCCTATCTTGGTTCTCACGTCCTGTATGGTCCTTGTGAACATTTTATAGAAACAAATATTGTCGGTTTGGTTCTGAGTAGTGTGATCCAATGAAATCCATGTAGCATTGGATGACGTTCATTGTAATGCCATCTTTCTTTGTTTTGGGGTATGCTTTGATGATCTTGGGTCCTTAAGATTCCCATCTCATCATGAGGCATCATAACTCTTCTGAATGAACACTTCCAGGGCAGAGTTAAAATGGTTTGAACTGATTTTTCTGGTCGGCGTTTCTTTAGCGAGTTAGTTTTGTAAGGAATGGGGTCGCCAACTTCATGCCCAACCCTCCTGCTTTATGCAGGCTTGGGACCGGCAGTAACCTCAGAGGGGCTTCGTCAATGAATTACTCTCCGGTTTTTGATAATCTACTGTACATTAAAGGCATAAAACATTTGTTTTTCTCTATATGATAGCCATCAGTTTATACAAACTAATCAAATGAGAGGATATTAAAAAACTGCATCATCCTTTGTTATGAGTTCATTATCGAATAATTCAATAGGAAACGACCCGCTGACCTTAATTTGTAGTCTGATATTTAATGCTACGACCTAGAGAAAATAATAACAATTACACTCAAAGACTACTACCTGCTGCTCCATAGTTTTTAACTTTAGTTACACTTTTAGTTAACATTTATATCAGCCAACTGCAAATGCTATGGTTTTGATATTCTAGTTCTCACTCTCACTAATAAATTTCTCCAAAAAACAATCTACTGCACCAACTCATCTGAAAATATATAAGTTGTATGTGAAAGACTTATTAAACTCTCATGTGATTTCATTTAACTGCACACATTTTGATAAGTTCGAAGATAAACTAATATTGATGATGAAACTGGCCTTAAATAAAATAAAATTAAAGTTGAGGGATCAACCAAAGATTTTTTATACGAATTATATTAACTCATTAGACGTCCATCCCATTGATGAAACTTAACGTTTATTAGTGATAGGAATAAATGACCCAGCACGAAAAGATATTACAAGTTAGTGAAACAAACTTTGACATCACCATATAATCTTCAATGTTTATGACATCATCTGTTGAGAGAGGCACTGTTACAAACATCTTACATAAGTTTAGTCAACCATCCCTCAGCAAATTCTGAAATATACAGACAACTGGAATTGCAAATGGATGTAAGTCCTCCAACTCTGAATAAAACTTACAGCGAGAGAGCTGCAAGCGTCCATTATGAGCTATGTCTGATAACGTCTCATGTAACTTTGTTGCACTATCTTTAAAATATAAACCGAAAAGTCAGTCCTGTAGAGGTTCCTTTTATACCACAGGCTGGGTGAGGATATATAGACCAGATATTCTCACCTGTTCAGGTGCTAGAACACAGACATACATTTAGACGTCCCACAATAGTTATATCCCTCGACCTTAAGACGGCGTTTGACTCTGTTGATCGTGAGGTTCAGTTGCAGTGTCTGTCATTGAGAGGTGTGCCAAGAAAGTGCATTAACCTTCTGTAGACTACTTAATCGAACACTACTGGCCGAGTCAGAGCTTACGGTGAACTTTCATTGGAACTGACCACTTCAAGTTATATCTGTTAAGGTTGCCCACTTTCCCATTCTTATTCAACTTTGTCGCTGACATTTCAGGAGTTGACCTTCTGCCAGAAGACTCACTTGTTTACCTAGAATATGCTGATAACATAGTTTTTTGTTGAAGAGGCTGACAAAATGCAGTCTTTTTGCTACCCTAAGCAACAGCGCAAGCATGTTCGGGAAACGATTCCCGCTTTTCAAGATTGGCTTGCATTGGCACCGAGATTAGTGATAAGGAGTGAAGTAGTTGAGCGTATCAACCGCTTCACTTGTCTTGGAATTCTCATGAGCCCTGACGAAGATTGGACATGGATTTAGAAAACCCGATTAGCTTTTGTCGACTTGCGTCACCTGTCACTTAGGCGAGATATCCGTCCACTTACTGAAGGAAGAGTTCGCTACTCAGCAGTTCGCTCCGTTCTACCGTACGATTGTGGAACATGACCAATAAGAATAGAGAATAATCGCAGGCTGATAGTATCCGATCATGAGTGTTTTTGGATTATTGCCCTTGTATTCTGGGACTACCGATTGAGCAATACCTGGATTAGAAAAAGGGTACTAGGTAAGGATGGTAAATCGATTTATGAAGCAATGAATCTACATCAGTTGTGGTGGTTGGAACAAGTGTTACATATTCGCAGCCGTCGCCTATCTCTAGGAGCAATGCTGTCTGGTGTAGTGGGCTGAGAGATACAAAGGGCGGCCAAACGAAAACATGGCGTTATTCCATGGAGACATTGACAATTGGACTGAGCCATGTCAGTAAGTGTAGACTACCTGGTTGGGATCCGCATGCTTATATTACCTGATGGTTAGAGACTTGGAATGACATTGCTGAAAATCGTTTGCAATGGCAGAGATTTATCTATTCTGAATTCATCATGACTTTTTTCTCTTTTCAAATTTATTTCACTGGGTTATATTTGCTCCAATCATATCTTTGATCCCTAATCTTTTCCATGGGCAATGATAGGACTACAAGTTCTACTACTCTATGTTTTGAACTGAGAATTTCATCTTCTTTTGTTAATGTGGTATGGCAACTTGAAAGTATCTACGTACCTACCAAATTCTACTTTGCTGCTGACTGAATTAATTACATAGTTAAAGTGCTTTTTTATAATCTATACAATAATTATTGAAACTTATTTTGTTGATCCTGTTACTTCAATCAGCTACATGAATGTTGATCAAAAACTGTGTAAGATCTGTTAAATTTTCAGTAATTAGTAATCAGTATAGTAAGATATCTAATCGGAGATCAAATTAAAATTTTTTTAAACATTCTCCACCGATAATTCACAATAAAGATTATTCGAGCGAGTGTCTGTTTCTAACATCCTTATCACTAGATTTTTAACGATTAAGAATAAATAATTATTTTATTGCAGTAGCCAAAATTAGACACGCATAAATAAATGAATTAAACAATGTTATATGTTAAAATACTGAACTTTTAGAAAGTTCGTAAATGTTTATAAAATACCTATAACAAGAATTCATTTCAGTCATATCCTGTAGTTATAACTACAGTTATTTTCATTTAATAATTCATGACTTGGTCACG